ACCTCACAACGGATGACCTCACAACGGCATCTCGTGACCTCACAATGGAAAACCTCACAGTGAGCCTGTCGTGACCTCGCAACGAACAACCTAACATTGTAGGACCTCACAATGGGCCTCTCGTGACCTCACGATGGAAAACCTCACAGTGGGCCTGTCATGACCTCGCAATGAACAACCTAACATTGTAGGACCTCACAATGGGCCTCTCGTGACCTCACGATGGAAAACCTCACAGTGGGCCTGTCATGACCTCGCAATGAACAACCTAACATTGTAGGACCTCACAATGGGCCTCTCGTGACCTCACGATGGAAAACCTCACAGTGGGCCTGTCATGACCTCGCAATGAACAACCTAACATTGTAGGACCTCACAATGGGCCTCTCGTGACCTCACGATGGAAAACCTCACAGTGGGCCTGTCATGACCTCGCAATGAACAACCTAACATTGTAGGACCTCACAATGGGCCTCTCGTGACCTCACGATGGAAAACCTCACAGTGGGCCTGTCATGACCTCGCAATGAACAACCTAACATTGTAGGACCTCACAATGGGCCTCTCGTGACCTCACGATGGAAAACCTCACAGTGGGCCTGTCATGACCTCGCAATGAACAACCTAACATTGTAGGACCTCACAATGGGCCTCTCGTGACCTCACGATGGAAAACCTCACAGTGGGCCTGTCATGACCTCGCAATGAACAACCTAACATTGTAGGACCTCACAATGGGCCTCTCGTGACCTCACGATGGAAAACCTCACAGTGGGCCTGTCATGACCTCGCAATGAACAACCTAACATTGTAGGACCTCACAATGGGCCTCTCGTGACCTCACGATGGAAAACCTCACAGTGGGCCTGTCATGACCTCGCAATGAACAACCTAACATTGTAGGACCTCACAATGGGCCTCCTGAGACCTCACGATGGACGATGTAAGAATGGTCATCTCGTGACCTCTCAATGGGCCTCCCGAGACCTCACAATGGACGATGTAAGAATGGGCATCTCGTGACCTCACAATGGGCCTCCCGAGACATCACAATGGACCACCTCACAATGGGCCTCTCCCGACCTCACAATGGGCCTCTTGTGACCTCATAACGGACGAGCTCACAATGGGCCTCTCGTGACCTCATCATGGACCACCTCAAAATGTGCCTCTCGTGACCTCACAATGGACAACCATACGTTGTAGGACCTCACAATGGGCCTCTCGTGACCTCACAATGGGCCTGTTGTGACCTCGCAATGGACAGCCACACATTGCAGGACCTCAGAATGGGCCTCTTGTGACCTCACTATGGACGGCCTCACAACAGGCCCCTCGTGGCCTCACAACGGGCCCCTCGTGGCCTCACTATGGATGCCCTCACAATGGGTCTCTCGTGACCTCACTATGGACGGCCTAACAACAGGCCCCTCCTGGCCTCACAAGGGACCACCTCACAATGGTCGACGTCACAACGGGCCTCTCGTGACCTCACAACGGGCCACCTCACAACGGGCCACCTCACAACGGGCCACCTCACAACGGGCTTCTCCTGACCTCACAATGGACAGGCTCACAGTGGGCCTCTCGTGACCTCCTAATGGATGGCCTCACGACGGGCGGCCCCGCGACGGGCCCCTCGCGACCCCGTTTTTTTTTCTCGCGGCCCCGCGACAGGCAGCCCCGCGACAGGCGACCCCACGACGGGCCTCTCGCGACACCACGACGGGCCATCTCACAATGGACCGCCTCACAACAGGCCTTCCGTGACCTCAGAATTGGTTCCTCATTACCTCACAACGTATGACGTCACCATGGGCCCCTCTCGCCTCACGATGGGCTGCCTCACTGTGGGCCCCTCGTGGCCTCATGATGGGCGGCCTCACTGTGGGCGGCCTCACAATGGGCCTCTCATGACCTCACGATGGACCACCTCACGATGGACGACCTCACAGGGGGCCTCTCGTGACCTCAAAATTTCCAGACTGAATTGCCTACCCAGTTACGTCTTTCGCATATTTCCCCTACAGGCATTCATATCCAAGATCACCTCTTTCAAAGCCTTTTGTAGCTTTATTCAGAACCCTTCTGGGATAAGTACATCAGAACTGCACTTATTATTCAAGGAGCAAATGCATGACCCACAAATTTATATAATGATGTAATGCTGTTCTCTTTCTTTCTTTTCTATTGTTATTATTTTTTCTTTCATAAAGCCATCTACTATAATCCTCAATTCTTGGTCCTAAATGGTAATGGCTACCCATGGCACCTCATTTCATTTGGGAATCCAGGATTATCTCCCCACCCTGTATCTAAATTCACATTTAATGACTCGTAATGTCATCTGTCACTAGGAGTCCCTGCTTGAGCAGGGGTGGTTGGCCTAGATGATCTCTAGGGGTCCCTTCCAACCTCAGCCATTCTGGGATTCTGTGACCACTCTGTCTGTACGGATTTTCTGACACTCTTCATAGATGCCCTTCATTCTTGACACAATTTTGTGTCATCATCCAGCCTTCTTACTCTGCTTTCCTACTCTTCTACAGATTTATTGAATAGCACAGATTCAAGCACAGACCTCTGGAGAATGCCACTGCTGACTCCCATTCAGTGATCATTCCTAATGATCCCTGCCAGTTATGACAGATTTATTATGAGTCTGCTAATACATTAATGTATCATTACCAATCTCCTTCACCTTATTGCCAAGACATGATGTTTATCACTGCACAATAGCTAACACATCATGCCTTGACTTACCTCTGTGGGCCATTTTCCTCCCACGGTGCTCTTGTTTTACTTCTTTGGGTTTCTGGACTGTTTTCATTTTTCATCTTTTTAAAGCTAAATAAAAGTATTGATACATTTTTAAAACCTATATTGTACAGACCATATTTCTTTCCCTCTCTCCCCCCGACCTCTTAAAGAATTGATCTTAGAGGCATGCGGTCCCCAGAGTCCCCTACCCTGGCATACAGCTATTTGTCTGCTATGTGAAAGGAGGAGAATAGCTGCTATATCCCCTAGCTATAAGCTGGTGCTGGTGACAAGTTAGCTGTTTATCTTACCTAGATAGACTGGATAACACAAAATTCAGATCTGCAGTCTCACAATTACAGTTGTACCAAGTCCAAAAAGGATCAATCTTGTCTCAGAACAGATGAGAGCAGACGCTTAAGCAAAAATTCTAAGAATGGGGCAAACAGGAGGCCTCAGGATGCCTCACAGCTTTCCACAATGTTCAGTTAATGAATTACTGAACCAGAGGCTTTACATAACCATTAAAAAAAAAAAAAAGAGCTCTTGATGGAACAAGAACAACTTCTCCTGCAAGCCTAAGAAGCCCAGCTTAAGGGATACACATCAGGAATCGTAACCAGTCCCCCACCCTATCTACAGGCGCAGAGGCAAGAAACAACAGGATGCTGTTGTGGGGTTTTCTTCCCCTCTTTTTCCCCTCACACTGTCATGTTTTACAGCTCTCACCCAGACAGCCTGCTCGCTACCCCTCCAGGCACAGGATGGCGGCCCTGGCTGGAGCCCGCTTTATGTCTCCCTCTCTCTCTCCTGTGGCTTAGCCATGCCTTTCCTGCAAAGTCATAGCCAGTGCTCACTCATGACATGAACAGGCAGTTCACCCAATACAAGACTAGATAGCCATATTATTTTCCACTAATCTCTTCAAGAATTGTTACTGACAGCATCCCACTAAAAACATCAATGTTGCAGATGCTTCTCAAGTGCAACTTAAGCATCAAAAAAAAGCTTTTACAGATGCTTGGAAGAGAGGGGGACATAAGCCAGGATGCTTTGCTCAGAGCAGGAGGCAACAGACTCAGCTTGATGAAGGCTACTTAGCTCACTAATCCACTTTTAACCGCAGCCTTTGGTTATTACAGGTCACTGAGTTAATCATTTAATTCTCACACAGTGAACCAAATTCAAAGTTACAGTAGGTCAACAGGAAACAAAATTAGAGTCCACTTTATCAGGTAAATCATCTTCTTAATACTGTATCCAGTAATTATTGATGCATATGTGCACAGAACCTATTTCCCAGACTTAAAAACATAAGCTTACTCCAGACTGAGCAGGTTACTTGGGTAAATGTTTCTGTCCTGTACTCTGGAAAAAAACTGAAAACTCAGATCAAGGTTGAGTTTAAAGAAATTTAGATTATGATTTCAGAACTTATAAAAGAGAGAGACAAAGAAATAATTCTGTGAGACTGTGAACTAACTGCATCAGATTCCTAAGTTGTTACTCATTCAGAGCAAACTTAACACACTTAGCAGCTAGAGAGCTAGAGAATGGCAGCTCTTCAGATACTGACATTATCTCCAGGAATGCAGTTGCAAAAGGGACTAAATTAATTCAGAATATTTGAAAAGACTGAGATCTGAATTTCATGGGAGATTACTGCTTTGTTTTTTTCTCTGTTTACCTTGAATTCTTACCACTTATGTAGAAACAGCCAAAGATACATCTCAGCACTTAAGCTACAAAAACTCAGGTCATAAGAGCTGCTTTGCAAGAATGTCTGGCAAGCAAAGCAGAAACTAATGTGGAATGGAGTAAAATATCAAACTGTAAATGCCTCACACAGGGTGTGTGCTGTCTGCCAGGTATACTCAGCTTGGTGGACCTGGCAACGGTTTTACAGACAAAGACAAGAAACAAACCAAGGAACCTAAAAAACATACAGATATTCCCTTTTTCTATGTATCTTGCATGCAGACAAATATCTGGAATGCAAAGTGGCAATAGCTCTGATTTCTTAATAGAAAACGTGCAAGAAAAACAACATTTTCCTTTCTAGTTTAAAAGTGATCAACACTATTTAAAATATGTATTAGTGAGAAATTGTCCAAGAATTATTTTTAAAATATGAAGTCAAAAACTACACCCAGGAACTGTGAAAATGCCATGTTGAAAATGGCACATTGAAAGCCTGTTATTCTGTTCCCTGATACACAACCCACTTACAAGTTTTTACCTCTTGAGGCAAGTGGATAAGCAGCACAGGGAGCACAAGCTGTATTAAGGGCTCCCCCTTCCCAATATGATCATCTCTGAACTACAGAACAAGTGTATCTCTTGCTTTGCCTCTTTCTCATCCCTTAAAAATCCTGTATTGTTCAGTGCATACTGCTTAGTGGCAGAGCTTCAACAGATTGAAATGGCACGTCCTAAGCTTTCTCTTAACTGATCCAAATGCCTGGATTACTGTATTCAAATTCCCTCAAACTGAGGAAGAAACTTAGACTTTCTTGTTTTAGGAAACTGGTATAATTACTAGGCAAGAGGAAACACTATCCAAGACTGAAGTAAGTTCTTAGACCCTTCTTGAGAGGCCAGTCCAGCTACTCAGCCAGAATGTGAAACCCAGAGCTTTAAGGAAGAGACTCAGCTCAGCTCAGAAAACTTGTCAGGGTGACTAGGCATGCAGAGACGCAGACATTTAGGCAATTAAGCAAAAAAGTTAGGTGCTGAGTTCTTGACTCATGGCTTTGTAAAATCACTGTTTTGAGTCAGGCACTTAAATTCCACCTAAATTAAGGGTGGAGATGTAAATCCTTTTCTGAATTTGAGCCTCATCTGTTTCTCTCAAACACACCTACTAACCAGAGATGCCTATTTCAGCACTGAAAGTTTAACACAGCAGACCAATAAAAACAGAATAGCCATGGCAATCCACTGCTGTGAAGAATCGAGTACAAGTATTCATGAGTTTTATACTGTAACATTCCTGGATTTACCAGTGTAATAAGCAAGGGACTGCAAGACTCAGAGGCTTCCTGGAGGAGAGGCCATTCCCAACATGTCCCTTGACAAGCAGAGCCAGCCACATACAGAGACAGAGGGCACATGCCCCACTCCCGCCGTGCTGCCATCAGCCTGAAGCACCTGAGGGAGGGAGAAGTGGGGGACATAGGACTTCATACCTGCCCTGAACCAAAAACAAGTGTCAAAAACTCATTTTTCATGTTTATATCTTGGACTGTTTATATCTTGAACTTTTTTCCTATTAATGTTTCTGATTCATGGGTTTTCTAGCACCACATGTCATCTGGAACCTCTGTCAGCCCAAAGATCGACGTTTGTTATTACAAATTATCAGGCAATGTTTTATGGCCTTTGTCAGCAGACAAAAATCAGGGAATCCTTAATTTTAAGGACAGGAAAAAAAAAGCATAATTATTGATTACTAAATGAGTCCCTCTACCCAATGTAATGCATGGTCTTCTAAAAACTGGAAGTCAAATGCTGGTCTATTTACCTTTTTACTGGAGAAGGTGCAATAATTTTGGTAGTTCCTTCATTCTCCCCATTTGTTATAATCTGATTTATGCTGTTAGATCCTGAAAGAACAAAGAATACAAAACAACCCTTTAGCTCTTCTTTTGCACATCAATTCAGCCTAATTAGTGTATTAAAATCATACAGAATCCTACTGAACACAATACAGTATGTGAGACAAAATAACAAACAAAACCGCAAGTGAATGCTAACGGTGTACAGGGAGCGCATTTTGGTGTCTTATCTTTACTTCTAGTTATATCACATTAAAAGAAAGCTCAGCATGGGTGACATTCATTACCCTTCTTTAAGATACGGAAGAATTAGGAGCTGTTGCTCCTACATAAGGAGGAATGTATACCACACCTGTATACATTCAGAAGAAGTTCAGAAATCTCCACTATGATACCTATGGCCTCTAAAACAATCCATGGCCATAAAACAATAGAAAACAAGACTAAAGGTGGTGGGGATTTTTCTTTTTTTTTTTTTCTTTTCTTTCTAAGAAACTTGAAATAGTAGCAACATACATAAAGTAGTTGTGAACTGATTCAGCAACACTACATATATGTCAGAAATACTTCCTAAGCTACGACCAGGGAAACAACTAACTGACGGATCTGAGAACGACTGAGAACTAATAATCTAAATAGAGAGACGCAATAAAGAATAATAGAAACAGAAACAGCCAATACTGACTTCCAATGAATCAGAAACACCTGGCCACTCTCTTCCTGCACTGTCGGCACTGGACCCCTCACCAAAGCCATTAGAGAGAACACAGAGAATGACAAGGAAAATGCCCTGTCCCTTTTTTCCTTTACTTCTGGCTTCAAAGAAACAGATTGGTGCCTTGATTATTTAGGAGCATGGAGGGCCATGGGAGCTAGACGTATGATATAGGTTAAAATCAAAATGACATGATAAAGTTATGCTGCACCTCTGTATTGTTGAAAGGAAAAGCAGCAACCTATTTAAATTGGTATGTAGAGCAGCTACATCATAGAGATTTGTTAAAGCTTCAACAATAAACAAAAAAATACATCAATCATCAAGACAGGTTGGTTTTTATCCGTCCTATTTTTTAGTTTTCACCCTCTGCCATTCATATGCACCTATGCTACTTCTGAGGGAAGGGAAAAGGGAAGGAACGGGAAAGCAAAGAAAGGCAATGTGCGAAACAACTTCTACAGAGAGAAAATTACCTGATCTATGGAACTATTCCAAGACTTTCGATAAAACTGAATGGCACTCTAATTTCTCTACTAAAATCTGAACTATATATTCCCTTGTCCACTTTAATGCCCATCTAAGGAGATTTGATGCAATAGTTTTAAAAGGGTCCATTTCCCTAAAGAAAAAATACATGAAAATTTTTTTTTCTTGACATTCCATATGGAAATGTTAAAAAAAAAAAAAAAAAAGTTTTCTGCAATATGCATGTACCTTTATCCATCTCAATGGATAATCTCTGTAATTTCTAACAAAACTGCTCCCATCTTCTAGAAGCAGATGTCACGTAAAATACCAGAACAAGACCACTAACATATCTCAGTCCTGGACAAGACTCTCGGATCATGTTCATTGAAGATATTCCATCACATATTGATTGAAACCCACAAGACTGATAGCAAGAGAATCTTTTGGAAAAAAGCAACTGCACCATCGTTTTAATGCACTGGTACACATTCAGGGCCTTTTTGTGGCTCAAACTATAACTAAATTTCTAAAAATCAAACAGGGACTCTATTCTGAGTTTACTCCACAGCTTGTTCAGCTTCCCACATTACCCCTTTAACATGCAAAGTCTCTGGGTCTATTCTGCTTCCACACAGGCATTCGAGAAAACCTAAGATATCTTGTCTGTACATCAACCTCCAGAAGGTTGTGCCTCTCCAAAGCTTCACCTGCTAATTTCCTGACGATGTCTCAGATATGATAGAAGGTCTTAAGTGGGATTAGTCATCTTGCCCAGAGAGGTTGTGGAGTCTCCTTCTCTGGAGATCTTCCAAACCCGCTTGGACGCAGTCCTGTGCCACCTGCTCTAGGTGACCCTGCGTGTGCAGGGGGGTTGGACTAGATGATCTCTAGAGGTCCCTTCCAACCTTAAGCATTCTATGATTCTATGATCTTGTCTAGGTTACTAAGTCTAGTCCTTTGTGTCTTTGACTTTACCACTAATGTTTTTCTCCCCCCCCCCCAGGGCAAGGGAAGTGCCACAGTCCTGCCCTGCTCACCTTTGTTCCTCTGAAGTATAGGCAGAAAGTCCCTGTACGCCCAATGAAGCAAAGCTTGCCATTCTGTGCTTTTTAATGTTTATGCAAGTTTAAGAACTCAGAAGAATACAGAATATTCTAACCAGAATGCACACAAATTCAAGAACAAAGGAATTATTAATTCGGTATTCTGAAAGAACATTATTCTATAGAGGAAGAATTAATCAACTTTGCTGACTCACTGAAGCCTGTACATCTAAACACAGCCTGTGTGATAGAGTACCACTAATTAACATACTCCACAATAACTGCACAAACAATAACCCCATTGCCATATCCATAATACTGTTTCTCACATGCCAAGGTAATAGGCCTCTTAGATATATGTTAAATAGACAGAAATATTGAACATCTCACTTGTACAGATTTTCCTGGTTGTTTATCTTTTGTTAAACAAAAATTAAAGTCAGTTTTCTTTGAACTGAACTTTTCCAGTAAAACAAATGCACAAGCCTTTACTTTCTTTTACAGCAATCTCAATCCCAAATTTTGCTTTCAAATTTAAACCATTAGATTTTAAAAGCTTCAGAAATGCTTCACTTCAGGAGCCTAGCAAAATTAATGATGTTACGTCTGCTTCTTATCAATAAGACTCATTCCATTCACAGTGCCTGGAAGTAGTGTTTATATTTAAATCTATTAACGAGGGCAGAAGATAAGCTGAGCAAAAGGAAACTGAGTTCGTGCTCTGCACTGCATGTTACTAAGAGCTAATAAAAGCAGAAGCACTTCTGTACGTCTAGACAATAGTGTAGCTCAGCTTACTCTGTGATAACATTTACTTACCAAATTAATTTCCAAACCAGTAGTCTCAAAGGTTTTATTTACCTCATACGATAGACATGAAATGCCAAAGTGGCCAAACCTATGCTTTTACAAAATCTAGTTTTTTTAAAAAAAAAACCTTTGAAGTTAGTAAATCATTCACAGTTTCTCTGGTGCTAATTTACCTCAGGCAAAAGTCAGTTTATAGAGTTGCCTGTTATACAGTTACCTCCTCAAAAAAAGTCAAATCAGCTCCACTATTTGGGTCACGGACCATAAAGAAATGTATATTAAAAAATCCTTAATGCTGGTACTGCTAGTCATACAACAGGAGCATGTTTACCTGAAAACATTTTCCCTCTAATGTGGCTTGTTGTTCTGGACAAAACAACACAGAAAAAAACATGAATACTGATCAATTAACTTTTAACTCTTTTACCCCAAATTTTACTCCCAAAAGAACCCGATGTTCAGTGGTAACCAGAGCTGCAAATAATGCACAGTCAGATCTCTGACAACCAAATCTTCATCCAAGCTAAAAATTTCTGTTTTATGGATCTGAATAGAAGAACTGTGGTTTCCTAAATGAATCCTTTATTTCAGCATACTTACCTACACATCTCTGAACTATCTCCTATTTTAGGAGAACTCCGATAGAGTATTGTGTATAAATATACATACTCAGAGTGGTTAACCCTCTCACTGAAGCTGTACCTTTCCCGAAGGCTGGATTTCTTAAACTGTGCAGAAAACATAAGAAGTTTCTACTTCTCATACTTTCATTTCTGATAAACTGTGTGTTCTGCTCTGAAACCTCAGAGTAAACACATAAGTAAGAGCACTCCAACATTTGTTTTCCAAAATGCAAACTTTTAAATGCAATTTCATAGTTTAATGGGAGAAGAGTCATTCTGAACACTGGAAACCAACTGTTCTCCAGCAGGACCACGCTGGGAGCGTATGACATTGCACAGGCTTGTCAGGACCAGGAGGGTGACAGCATGTGCTCAGGACCATCAGAACAGACAGAGAGCCTAACCTAGACCCCACAAGATACTGTACCGCAATTTCAACACTCACTTCTGATTTCCCAACCTGCTTTTATTCTGCACCAGCTTAAACTACCCAGTGCGCGAGGCACTGACAAATCGCGTCCTCAGCTCAGAACAACAGCAAACGCTAAGCAATGCCTTCTCCAGCGCTGAATAAACTCGGGGCCGTGTTAGCAGGTTTTGTCACGCGGGGACTTTGCAAGAGGGAGCGTTCCTGTGGAGCCAGGGTAACGAGGGCTTTCATCGTGCAGCCCGTACGCGCTGTTGCGAAAGCCGAACGAAATGCCAGCCCCCTCACACCTGAATGGCACGGAACAATGCGAGATCCTGTTCCACGGTTTGAGTTTATGATTTATAACCCGAACAAAAATGTAACTCTTTCTTAACCAAAATGAACATGCAAACTAAACAAGCGACGCGTATCTCAAGTTTGAGCTTCCAAAAACCAAAGCCACCTTTCCCTTTCCATGCACAAAATCAAAACCTTATCTAGCCTTACAGGGCAGAAAGACAATACATTATTATAAAAACATCGACTGCACAGACATTGAAGCTTCCTGGTTTGATTTTCCACTGACTTTAAAATGTATTAAGCAAGTAATAAAAAGGGAGATTACTCTTATGTGGTTTCTAGGAAAATAATCTGCTGTGCTAAGTCTAAAACGTCAGTCTTATCAAGACAGTCAGTCAGTGGCAGTGGCTATTAGCTAAGAAAAGTAGTTTCTTTCTGTTCACATTACCATCTCCTTCAATCTCTCCCTTAAAACACACATAATTTAACCAAAAATATAGAAATAGTTATCATCGTTTTGACACCTACTCCAACTCCTAACCGGGGGTTGGACAGCTAGTTAAGATTTTTTCAATGGCCAGTGAGACAAGGAAACATTTTCAGCCACTCAACCATTTGAAAGATAGCTAATCTCTAAATTTAAGTGACAAGGCAAAAAAAATGTGTGCTATATAAAACACCTAACAACAGCAGAAAAAGAGTATAAAAAGGAAGTTTCCTGATGATATATATATAAACCTATGATAAAGAGAGAGCTTACTTGCATTTTAAAGCTTAGACAAGTTTTCCTCAAACCACTAATACGTACGCACATATATGTAGCTGAATCCTACTGAAATTTGAACAATTGCTGCCATGAGTGAAAGGCTGGCACATAATCACATGGAGAACTGGAGCTTGACATCAGCAATTTCGGTTGTCTCCATTACCAGATTTCAGGAAACATTCATTGTTTTGGGCGCAGCTCCTGGGATGTGTGCTTAATCTTAAATGTTTCCTCTGATACCTGCAAAAACTTCCAGCTTCCCCTGACATTTTCAGAATGCAGTTACAACTTTCCAACTCACAAATCTGAAACAAGTTAAAACTTCACAGGGCATGGCATTTACTTCCATTCCATTTAATATCAAAATAAAAGGATTCTACACCAGTTTTACCATACTTAGAAAAGTATGTAAAAAAGAGACACCTTGGGTTAAGGCTATAGGATCCCAACTAAGCAACACATGTAAGAATTCTTCAGACACAGTTTTCAAGAAATAAAACATATGTGTTGCCTGTATTTAAACTTCAATAAAGTACTTCACACTTGGACCATCAAATCTGGACTGTTACCATATTTGACCCACTTTTTGTCACTTTTATTCACAAGATGGAATTTTTAGATCCATTTAGGTTGTATCTATTCTGACCTAAAACAAAACAAAACAAGCAAAAAGAAAATGTATTTTGAGAGATCCTGGAGGAAACCACAGCTTTTTTTAACTCGCTTTTTGAAAACAGAATAACCCATAACCAAAGAAGAAATCTCTCCATAGGCATGGCATAGAAAGACTCACCAGTCTGTTGTGTTCTTTTTGGGTAAGTCCTACTGCGACTTCTTTCAATACACTGGTCGGGCCGGGGAAGCTGAATAGAAAGGTCTCTGGTCATTTGCAAAGCTGTCCTACCACTTGAAAATGAAACAAAATTACATAAAAAAAATCAGATAAACATATGGAAAAAAGGTAGGATCTAAGGACATAACACTGAAAAAAAACACACATGGTCTGGCAGGAGATTTTCTTAGCTTGCTCCTCATTCCAACTCTAACACTCCTGCCTTCATGATGAGCTGCATAGCACTATGCTCTCTGCTTATTTAGTTTTGTTTTGTATCAGACAATGGCAGAATCATCAACAGATTGCGTTGCTCCCTCTCCTGAAAAATTTGGTAAGCAACCAAAACAGAGTGGTGGTTTACTAATAAACAGAATAACATAATGTGATTTCTTTTGCAACTCTAATCTTCTTACATATAAGAAGTAATTTGACTGCTTAGTTTCCTTTTTTTTTTTTTGTAAATTTTTATCTTGATAAAACACATTTAAGATTGATCAGTTTTGATCTGTAACTTACCTCTTGCTCTGCTATGGGGAGGTAGGAGTGACAATGAAAAGAGCATGAAAGCCTCAGAGCAAGCAAACGGCACAAATGTACCCTTCACCAGCACAGGCCTGACTGATACTAAATTGAGACCTAACTCATTTATAGTATGGCTCTTTTCATCACAAAATGGAAAAAGTCATTAAAAGCATGAATAAATTATTCTATGCTATTTTTAAAGCTCCCTTCAATGTAACCAAGCAGAATAAAGAGGCCATAATCCAAATGTGATGCAAACCCTATACTCCCTCCCAAAACTGTTTGTTTCAGAAAATGTATTATATAAAAGTAGTAATTGCTAACAGTAACTCCCAATTGCTGTAACACCTGCAGTTCCTTTTTTTAAAAGCACTCAGATATCTTGCTAGCAATTATACAAGGCATTACATATGTAGATAATCTGAGCTATGTGAATACTCCCAGCTAGGATGATTGTGTTTTCACCAACAGCACTATAGGAGTAATCAGCACTGCAGAATTTTGATCATCTTAAAATTTGCAAAAGGATTAAAGGACAAAAAAAAATCTAACATTATATAAAAGTAATGCTGTTTTTTTGCTACTCAGTTTCACGCTCTTTCATTCCCAAGTGAGGCAGAAAACACTTAATTTCAACTTTTAAGTTCCACCACCATGCCTTTCTTGCAAGTCCCAAAAGCAATTTTATCAAAACACCTATGGATAAGGCAAATCTTAAGAAGATCAAAATTCTGCAGCGCTGATTATTCCTCTGGTGTTATTGGTGAAAACACCTCTCTATTAACCAAAATATCTGAATCTAAGAGAGGGATACTGTTTTCTTGGAATCTATGTGCTACCCAAGTAGTACTACCTGGAAAAATCAAAAAACAAAAGAAAAACAACAACAACAAAAATAATATGATGACTTCAATACATACCTGGTCCAAGAATAAAACTATGTCTCCTGCTTTGACCTAGCAATTTGTGCAGATTGACAGTACTATTACTACTTTTGTTGTTACAACAAATATGAAAGGCACAGGAAGAAGATAATCAAGGCTGATATACAAAAAAAAAGAAGATACTGAAGGCACATGCAAATGCTGTTAACCATGGTTGTTGCTCTGCATTCCAAGTAGGGTTAATATATCAAACGGCACTTGGCCGTCACAATTTATGATTAATCCTGGGTAATCAACATGGTGAACTGTGTATCACATTCCAGTTAGCTAGAACACCAGCTGAGATCAGGGGGAAGTCCACAGCAAACACTACAGTAAAACAGTAATATTTGTAGGAAGGCCCTGGTAAACACAAAACTACATCATGTAGAGTATAGGAAAGCAGGGACACATCAGGTAACATGATAAGACATGTTGACAGACAGCATGGTACAGAAACACACCAGAGATTTGCCTGGACATAGCCCAGGCTCAGCACAGGCATAGACATCTGACTCTCTTCCTACAAGGAAGGACTTAAACCCCCATCAAGAAGGGACAAGTGTAAGAGAGCTACTACTGCGTACTACTCTTAGGAGCTACTAGAGCTATAACTGCAATCTAGAAGTCACTTGAGAAAAGGAGAATTATGGTTGACTACAATACATTCCAAGGAGGCAGTGACAAAGAACTGCCTAACAAATAACAATACCTATACATGTACTTCTTGAGTGATAGTGGAAAAACGAACAGGAAAGACAGATGGATGAGACAAAACTAAACAAACTCCAGAGTTTGTGAATATAGTATATATAGCTTTTTCACCCAGCAGGTTCAAAGCAAATACAAAAAATGAAAAACTTTTTAGACTAACTTGATAAATAGGGTAAATGACAATGGAAAAACAAAGGGGCTTAGCTTTCATATGCAATTCTGATTTGCTGTTCCATACCTTCTTCTTCAGGTTCATTGGATACACATTAAATATGCACTCTAAACCAATTCTAAAAATAATAGAATCATGGAATGCTTAAGGTTGGAAGGGACCTCTAGAGGTCATCTAGTCCAACCCCCCTGCCCATGCAGGGTCACCTAGAGCACGTGGCACAGGACTGCGTCCAAGCAGGTTTTGAAGATCTCCAGAGAAGGAGACTCCACAACCTCTCTGGGCAGCCTGTTCCAGTGCCAGACCATGGATTATTGGCTAAACAATTTTGAGGAAAATGTGACAGACAGAATTTAAAGCATCTCCAGTGCTAAATCCAGTGTTTTACTTGCTAGATAAAGATTCTGTTTCAACAGACTTAAGAACGACAGGCTCAATAAAAAAATACCGGGTATCTGTTTTTACCTATATCTCGTCTCCTGCTAGTTCTTTCTGATTCTGCAGCTGAGTTACCTGAAGACCTCTCCCCTTGCCACATATTCTTCTGCACAACAGCATTTACTGTTCTTTATGTCACAATGTCTTTTTGGTTAACAAAGGTTAAAGCTGAGAGTAACTCTTCCCTGCACACCCTGAAAGTTTGTTGCTTCTTTCAGATGTGAAAAAGGCCTGCAGGCTTGAAAGCATACCCAACCCCTGATAGCCCATCTCCTTTCAGATCTCATCTTCTCAATTGGAAAACAAGAGAAGAAACAGGAATAAAAGCAGAAGTGGAAGTTAATATAAAGAAATAAATTCACCTGTATCGGTTTTTGTAACCTATGGATCCAAACTTGCTGAATTTTCTTGATAGAGAGTTTGACTCATTTTCTGGCATTCTACATAGTTTGAAAAATAAAACAACAACAGAGTAAGTTCACATTGATAGGTCCCCCAATTGGACTCCCATTCCTAAAAGAAGACACAAAAAATATTCAAATTCTGAAAGGTAATTTTGTTAGCTTTTCTTCACCTGCACTCACAGATGAGCTCCTATTGCGTTCAGAATCCCCCAAAACCATATGTTTATGCCCTCCCCTTTTCATTATACGTCTCTTTAATTTAGGGTTTACTATAACAGCACTAACAGGTTTTTGTTCAGTGTTTCACACTGGCATGCAAAAGCACCATAATACAGAAATGGGACAACAGCAGAATTTCTGAACTAAAACATTTAAAATACTGTCAAAGCCAACAGTAGGCATTCCATGAACCAATTCCAACTAAAGATCCATGTGTACTTTTAGTAGCTATTTTGCAATAGTAACCCAAAACGGAAGCATTTTGTACCTTTCAGTAAGGGTAAGACATTCCAAAATTTTAAAGAGTCATTCTGCCTAAAATTCTGTATGCTGCAAATAACGCAGAAAAAAAAACCAACACAGGTTAAGAGTAACACGTGAAATCTAAAAGCCTGAAATCAATGCTGCTATGGAGAATTTGATCGTTACAGGTTAAATCCCACCACGTACATACATGGATACTTTTGTTACTGCATTCTTTATGCAATTTGAGATATGCTGTTTCAAGAAGAATTCTAAAACAAAATGAGACACTAAACTACCGGAGGTGTTTTAAATTATTGTTTTATTTTATCATAAAAATGGAAGGCATCAACTTTCAAGGGCATTCTATAATCAAGAAGAAATGAATTGTCAGGTAGCAAGTCTGTGTTACACCACTTGTAGTTATAGCAAGGTTCCTATTTAATGCAGTCTACCTCATGTCATACGAAATCACATTAGACTTACCTGAAAAATGTATGATGCTCTACACAGCATTTCCACAGATGCTTGCACGTAGTTTTGTTATGTGCTTCAAAAAAGAAGGAAGTTTCATTGCACTGAAAAAAAAAAACAACAATAAAGCTATGTTGCTGTGAAGAATTGTGACAGTGACTTCCATCTACTGAGCATGAGGAGTCTTTCTTGTATCACTGTACATTAAAAAAGACATGAATAAGAAGAAATGCAGGGGTTTTTTTGTTTTGTTTTGTTTTGTTTTGTTTTTAACAATTCTTAATTAGAAGTTTTGCTGATTTCTCATTGCCTGAAAAAATAACTAAAAGCCTATTTCCTTAGACATAGGGGAAAAAAAAAGAGCAGGGAGATTCCTCTCCTCACCCGGGTAGGAATAGCCCCAGGGCACCAGTACAGATGAGGGCTTGACCTGCTGGAAAGCAGCTCTGTGGAATTTGGGAGTCCTGATTGACAACAAGTTAATCATGAGGCAGCAGTGTGCCCTCGTGGCCCACAAGGGCCATGGGATCTTGGCCTGCATCAGGAAGAGTGTTGCCAGCAGGTGCAGGGAGGGGATCCTGTCCCTCTAGTCAGCTCTGGTGAGGCCGCACCTGGAGTAATGGGCTCCCGAGTACAAGAAGGACATTGAGCTTCTAGAGAGGATCCAATATAGAGCCACAAAGATGACTAAAGGACTGGAGCATCTATCTTATGAAGAAAGCCTAAGCGAGCTGGATCTGTTTAGCCTAAAGAAGAGAAGACTTGAGAGGAGATCTGATCAATATGTATAAGTATCTGAGAGAAGAATGTAGGGAAGATGGGACCAAACTCTTCTCACTGGTGGCCAGTGATAGGCCAACAGGTAGTGGCTACAAGTTGAAACACAGGAAGTTCTATCTCCATGTGAGGAAGAACTTCTTTCCAGGTCCCTTCCAACCCCAACTATTCTCAGATTTTGTGAGATTACAGAAATGCATCTGTTCCCTGATTTTGGTTCATGTCAGCTCTACTCTAACTGACAACCAATAAGGTTTTTTGTATAGTTAGTTTCTGATGTTTTCTGAACCTGAACCTGAAGCAAGCCAAAAAAAAAAAAAAAAACACAAATCCTAGGACTCTGTTTAGCACTATTATCCTGGAAAGCCATAAAACGATCGGAAAAAAATAGAAGATTTGTCATAAACTAGTATGCAGCAGCAATGCAAAGAGAAAATGCACAGGTCATATCTAGAGAAGAAAGGAGGTAAATCTGGAAATCAAAAAGGTGCATTAGAAGGAAAGATGAATAACATGAACTTCACAATGATTCAAAATACCTGGGAAAAAAAAGGTGCCAATTTAAAAAGACTTAAAATCTACTTGCAGAGGAAACATTTATAGGAAGAAAAACAACCAAAACATTCAAAAGCTTAAAGTCTATTCACAGGAAACTGGCAGTCAGTACAGCAGATAGGAAGAAACCATGAATGGGAGGGAAACCTGAAAGAGAAGTCAGTCATCTACAGATTGTGAAATAAGAACGTCAATGGTCAAGAACAACGTCCTTTGCTTACTGAAACATCCTTCTGGTGACATATATGACAAGAATCTGACCTGAAACTTAATGTGGGTTTGTACTTGTGCTTTGTATTGTTTTAATTTTGTGGAAGGTCATGAAGTCATGAGAGCTCAGTTAGATCAGTCCCACAAATATATTTCTACAGTTAATAGAAAGACCTCAGGCTTCATAGGGATCCTAATCACTGTACAGGATACACAACACGCTTAATTTGGAGCAAAAAAGGTAAAACTAAAAACTTCAAAACTTTTCTAAATAAAATCCAAGCACCTGGAAGCCGCATGGGAATTCTCAAACTGCCAAGGATTAAAAAAAAAAAAAAAAAAAAAAAGTCTACGTATGTTGAATTTTCAAGAGCAATCATACTACTGCTCATGCCCCTCTGGCAATCACTCTACCTACTGAACTGGAACTAAGACTTCTAAAATAGAAATCAAGCAATATTTTTCCACAGCTATTTTGCACACAAAAGAAACAGTTTCAGATTTTATTATTTAATTTACCCTAAAATTTCTAGAACAGATGATCCAGGCCTGGAGTGATTTCATATAAATTCACACAGCTGTAGTCACCTCTGCAAATTAAAACAGTAATCTCAAATCAGATCTCTGATATTATAGACTTTCTGCAATGTAATGTTTCATTTCAAGTTCTGTTAGAAAAGAACAAAACTCACACTTAATATGCAGGATCTTGCTCCTTCTTCCTTCACTTCTATATTTTACATTTAGGTAGAGAATCCTCTGCTACATTTATATTTATTTAATGCATGAACAGAAAGTCTGAGGGCAGTAGGGGGAGAAGCGAGGGTGTTTATTTTTTTTTTAAACAAAATAAGGTATTTCTAGCATTTCTTATCATTTCCCAGTTTGAATGCCATTGAAATTAAGGAAAAGATTCCCATTAGAGAAGAAAAAAATCTGTTTAGCCTATTTTATTATTCTTCTGCAAGTTTTTGAATTTTTTGATATAGATGATACATAACACCTGAAAAATCTATTAGGTATCTCAAAAGAGAAAGTATAACTACAGTTTCTCATAATTGAAATATTTCAATGAGTACTTGTGATGCCATTCTTTGAAGAAAATATTTTCCAACATGAAGAAAGTTCATCTCAACTGGTTAATTAAAAATGTTGATGATAAACTATTGATCAGAATATCATTACCTACCCTTACTAGTACTTATTTAGTAATTAAGGCATTAAGAAAGAAACAGGGAAGCCCTGCAGATCATATATATCAACAGGGAAGATATGGAATTCAGATTTGGGGAGGGAAGAGGAAAAAAAAAAAAAAAAAAAACTGTCTCCCAGAAACAAGGGCAGAAGACAAGAAGCCTTCTGTTGACACCCTGACTTATTTAGCTGGATGCGAAGGAACAGCACACATCTAAAAATTAAGTATCAGCTCATGGTGTATGCTTGCAATGAGTCAAACAGTACACCTATAGTCTATCAAAGACTGCGATATGAAGCCTAAGAAATTCACCCATATGGTCTTCCACCAACACAAGGAGAATTCATAATTCTCGTATCATTTTTTCAATTATTTGTAGAAGGATACTTAGGCCTAGGTTTTCCTCTGTTTATTTTTAAGCTGGTTTGAGATCTTGTAGCAGTACTGTGATTATCCTCACAATTTGTAAGTGCATATTTAAAAATAAAGCATTACTAAAGGCAGTAACACCTAGGTTCAATTATTCTCTCCTAAAGAAATAAATTTAAATATAGGTAAAGCAAGGATGATCTTACTCTTTAACATCATGCATCTTATGTTTCCAATAAGAGGCTCTTTACTATCTTGGATGATTATCATTTCTATACATGTAGTGAGAGTTAGTTGTTTTTTAATTTCCCTAATTTACATAACTGAAAACCAAAAGAAAGAGATAATCTATTTCCACTAACAATTAATAGGAAATGACAATTCCATTTGCTGAAGCTTGGTGTTGCGTGCTGCCTCACGCAGCATGCTGCGCAGCATGCTTGCTGCCTCACTACTCCATGCTCTTTATCCTGCTGCTTTCACAGTGACCAAGTGTATCGAAAACGCAGTGGTACAAAACTCAATGGCAACTTCTTCAGAATGGTCCTGTTCCATTTGTTCACTCCGAAATCTGTCCTCACCTCTGGCCATGCAGCCCTTCCTTCCCCTCTTTACCAGCTTTGGTGCTTGTCTTGTATTTGTGGAAGCCTACTGCACTAGCCCATCAAGCAAAGACAGACTTATTTTCTTATGATATTTTTGGTTGTGTTTGTGACTTGCACTAGCTCCTTCAGGGTCAGAGAAGCCTAAGAGATGGGATAAGGAAGGGGGCAGGACCTCACAGCAAAAAGCCGCCAAAGAAGCCAAGTACCCCTTGTAGCACCATCTAGTTGCTGTGCTGCCTGTCTTCTAATCCGAGAGGGCCAGGGAACTACAAAACTGCGAAGATAAACATAAAATACTCTTCTTCTAAATGCTTTAAAAGCTTGTCCTTCCATTTTCAGCACATGCTAAAGCTCCTACTGCCACAGCCCGTGGGAGGGACAGACCAGCACATGGGACGCTCACAGTCTGACCGCACTATTAGCTTATGATACTCTCACAATCAAACGCGTTACTGCAGCCTCCAACTGTTTTATCTGTTTGAAAGCACCTAGAAAACTGCACTGGCAGGGCATTTGAGATCTCCTACACGATTTTTTGGTAATTGGTATAGCACTACGCCATGAGCTCCCATCTCACAGAAAACATGTTAGCAACACACTCAAAAGAGACCAGCCAGGGAGTACATTGCTCTACCTGGTCATTGCTAGGCAGCCCCAAAATGCTGCTGGGATTGCTACAGCTGACATATTACTTAGGTGCAGGGGGTTGGACTAGATGACCTCTAGAGGTCCCTTCCAATCTTAAGCATTCTATGATTCTATGATTCTATGAAATGCCTATATTGCCTTTTCCCAACATTTCCTAGCTGTTTTGGTCACACTAATGCGATTACAGAGCTTCAAGCACAGAGCGCGTGCAGTTAGCTCAGTGCCCAGGCAGAGCAAGTTTTGAGCCTGCCTGCAAAGGAAGACATAATAATGACAGGTTTTTCCCCTCTGGGGACCAGAGGATCTCTTGGTTGTGAAGTTTATGGATTACTTCAGAAAGAAAATGGAAAAACAGGCCTACTGTGAGGAGACTTGCATTAGCTCCATGGGGCACTGCACCTCCAGGGAAAAAGTTCTTTTTTTTTTTTTTTTTTTTTTTTTAACTTCACAGAAAAAAAATGTTTGAGAACCGATGCCTCAGAGCAGGCCACTGGCCATAGCTGCTCTAATCAATGACAGGACATCATCAGCCCTTATCAGTCCAGGTTTGGGAAATGAGCACAGAGGCTCTCTTCAATTGCACTGAATATTTAGCATAAGAACCTAATGGACCTTATCCTTAAGGACCATAAGGACTTTGTCCCATTATAAACACTCTGCATGTGCATGCACAGGTAAGAGAAGTGTTAATACTACCTCTGAAGCTACTGCCTCCAAAAATTATTCTTTGCCAGGCCAGGCACACACCTGGATACTATCAATTAGTTCCTTCAATAGGAAATACTTTGTCTTCACATATTTACACAACGCATACCCATCATAGCTTATGTAATGGAGAATGTATTACAGGTTACACAAGGTCACCTGAAATCTCCAGTTAGATAATTATCTCTAGGCATATTATACAAGTCCAGAATTAAAATTAATAATGCTGTGCTACTACACATAAAGCAAGTCAAGTTTTAAAGGCATCTCAAGCTCATATTATCTCAACAATTACAAAAAAATTACTGAACAATAACCTACAAAAAACCCTGACATGAACACTTTAATGACAACCACTTTAAGTTTACCCAGGAATTTTAATCCTAGTTTTCCTTCAAAAATGTTGATTACCAAAGACTTAGCTATCAAGCCTTAAGCCATTCTTACAGCTATGTGGTGACTCACAAGATGGTTAAAAAAAGTTGTACAGAACGTATTAACATCACTGTGCTAGCTCACCTCCACCACCACTCTGACTTAAATGGACAAAAATACAAACGATGCAAAAGTTATTTCTAATTTTTAAGCCATCATAAAAATCAAAATGCTACATTTTCAATGTAATTATAAATTAAATCAGACTTAAAAATAGGAAGAACATCTCTTCATTCCCTGCTCCACCTTCTTGAAAAACAGTTTAAGAGGATCAAATGAAAAGCTTCTGCTCTTGTAAATTATATACCATGTAAGTCATATATGGAAAAAAATGGAAATGGAAAAAAAGTGTTTGCAAAATGGGTATGAACACAAGGTATGTATGTGCATATATGGTATGAATACAAAGGGGTGTAAGACTACCTTATTAAAATAATAAGTTTTTAGACTTCTAAATTCTATAAAAAGCAATTAAAAATAAAGAAATAGACTAATTAAAAGCAGAAGCTTTAAATTAAGCTTTTAAGCGTCTTCCTATATAAAAGGATAAAAACCTTGTTTTCAGATAAACTTGAACGAGCAGAACGGGAACCAGTAGGTGCTTTGGAATTGCCTTGATGTTCTTCTTACATACATGCATCAGTTGCTGATAAAGCTCCTGAAAAAATCTCTTTACCCACTTCACCTTATAAATTCAGCTGAGCCTCTTCACCTGGCTAAGGAAGATTGCGGAGGAAGGCTTGTGTTGCAATTATATAAATCATTTTAATTGCACTGCTTTAGGAGTTTGTTCTGACTTGAAACAAACCAAATTTCAAAATCCATCATAAGGGAAAAATTTCAGACTTCCGAAAGACTCTTCTGTTAAAGTAAGAAATAACAAAAGCAAGCTTTCTACAGATTGAACTCATTCAAATTCCCTGATTAAAAAAAAAAAAAAGGCATGAAAAGTAAAGACACTTTGCATAAACCCTATGAACCTGTGAAATCATTCACTTGCATGTTCAAACACACTGCAACCAAAGCTAAAGGAACTCCTTACTCACAGGAGGCTCAGAGGTAGTTAGCCTACCCTTCCAATTACGCATGTTCACACATCAAATCCCTTGTGATCAGACTCAGTGTTGTTGTGCTGGAGGCCTTGGGCAGGCACCAGATTCCTGGGTGATATCCATTATGGTTTTTTCAACAGACATGTATGCTAGTATGAACTGTGCATAGATGGCTATCAATTTCCTTAAGAAAATGCCAAGTCACTGTCTCACAGTCAGGGCAAGCTATAGAAGGCCAAATATTAAAGCAAGTATTTTGTTTATGAAAAGACAGTAATAAGAGAACCAAAGGAAGAAAAAATGTGACAATACAAACAAAATAATAAAAGCTAAAATCAAAATACCAATAACCATGCTGCAAACAATAGCAACAAGTGCTCAGAATACATGTGCTGAGGAAGCACAAGAGACTACAATGCAAAGCACGTTACAATAATAGAATCACAGAATGCTTAAGGTTGGAAGGGACCTCTAGAGGTCATCTAGTCCAACCCCCCTGCACACGCAGGGTCACCTAGAGCACGTGGCACAGGACTGCATCCAAGCGGGTTTTGAAGATCTCCAGAGAAGGAGACTCCACAACCTCTCTGGGCAGCCTGTTCCAGGGCTCTGTCACCCTCACTGTTAAGAAATTTTTCCTTAAGTTCCCGTGGAACTTTTGGTGCTTCAGTTTCCGGCCATTTCCTCCAGTTCTTTCAGGGGCCACCAGTGAAGAGAGGCCAGCACCATCCTCTGCACTCCCTCCCTCGAGGTACTTATAGACACTGATTAGATCCCCTCTCAGCCTTCTCTTCTCCAGGCTGAACAGGCCAGCAAAAGCATCTTGTGTTCAGTAAATCATCAGATATGAAAACTAAAATAAACAACAAATTCAGCAGCAGCAGTGATAAATAATTTTTTCTGACAGAAGCAACCCACAGTGTATTCTCTGGGTAACCTAAGGACATGGAGCTGAACCAAGATTTTTAAATGCATCAATGCAACAAGCATGTTCTCCTCCACCCCACCAGGAACTGCACATTCAAAGTAATTTGATAGATTTTGACAAGTCCCAGACAAGTTTATCTGAAGAAGAGAGAAGTCACCATAAGTAACTGCATGCAGGGTTAAAAAGCAATACTTCACAGAGCATTAAAAGCATCAAAAACTCCTCTTGATGAGCAGGTGTATCTGTGGAAAGTGTTTGTCAATGTCAAAAGAAGTAACTTGCATGTGGACAGATTAAAATTCAGCCTCTGGAGTTTTCATTAGGATACAGAAGCTGCATCAATTTAGTCAACACATCCAGCTCTTAGCTCTTCATGATGTTAACTCTATGCCATTAAGTCACAACTAAGAGACAAAAAAAATCTGCATTATCTCACCTTTTCCTAAAATTAGTTGAGGAGAACACAAGATACTTATTCTTAGATCCTCTACAAATCCTCTACAAAGGGCAGTCATCAGCCTAATAAATCGTATCACCTGTGCACCCTCTTCCTGGTGTTTGGGATGTTTTCCTTTCTAGCATTTGTGCTCCCTGTTCAATCTTAACTCCTCCTTTCATAGCACTGCTCTCTCCAAGCTTTTTTTAGACTCTTGCACTCACTTTCTATCAGTGCTTGCAGAGGTTTATGTATTGAATATTTCGAAGAACATCTTTCTTAGTCCACTATGCTAATTTTATCAAATGCTATTAAAGGAGAAAAGACAACTTTCCAAGATAGCAAGATGAAAGTAATAGTTCAACTCTTTCCTGTGACTACTATTATTTCCTGTGCTGGACGGTGATATTCAAGGATGCAGCATGAAGCAAAAGTGGTATATTTTATCTCCTATCACATATTGCAAACTCATTTCTTGGTGAAACGACAAAGTAATAGCAGTTATTTTAAAGCATGGAGGAATAAAAGAAATCTGTGAATAAAGTTTTTTTTGGAGTATGAGAACACACGGTCATACAAATCTACTGATAAGGTATTACAATGATTTTAATCCATACATTAAAATTATTGTTAATTCATTCCAAAAATATTTTTGTAGTAGTAAGAACATTTACCAAAAAGCAGAGGAAATATTTTTAGGCCATTTTAGCATTTCTTTAAGCTGTTAGGATAAGAAATACTGTAGAAGCACTTCAAGTAAGTATTAGTTGCAATGTAGATTATAATGATGGCACACACCCTTGTACTTACTGTTCGCTTAAACAATTTCCTAAAAATACCTGTTGGGACTCGAAATTGCCAACTGCTGTCAAAGTGTTTCTCTTAGGATCATAATATTAATTGTTCACAGTCTTTGTAAGTAGTCAACATTCACAATCTAAACTTATGTATATTTTCCAAAGCTTCCACATTTTATTTTCAGCATGTTAACATTTGCAATTCCAGATGGTTCAAACAAAAACTAAATACATGTGACATCAAAAAGAAATTACAGTATCATTTCAGTGCAATTCACTTTCAAGTCAAACTAGGACTTGTTTGTACATGAACAGGCATTCATTCTTAAAATGACACACTGACAAAAGTTTTCCCAACCTTTCCCCAGCCTTCAAACAACTCTTGGATTTCAACAAAGATATCACCAGAAATAAATGTCCCATAGACAAACACACTGAAGAGAAACAAACCACTTCTGAGTAGCGAAAGCAAAACTTACCAACACATCTCCATAAGCAAGAAATACTATGACTAACATAACCAACAAAATCCATCAGTGCTACAGATACTTTTCCTAGAATGTGATGAACCACAAAAACAATCTCTTGAAAAATTTATGGGTGACACTAACCACCACCACAGATGAATAAACTTACAAAGATGATCTTAAAGGCAAAAAATATTCCCTTGCTGGAAACTGAGTATTTATCACAAAACAACTGTTCTGTCTTTAAACTTTCATTCCTGAGAATCTAAAGGGATCTAAAAAAATAATTTTCAAAAAAACACTCAGCAAACTAAACTTATAACTGAGACAGGTACCAAAAGTCACAGACTGAATGTAAACATTTCATAGTACTTCTTAAACATTGCTTTTTTACACTTCACACTTCTCCCTACATCTTCAAACTTCTCCACCATCACCACTTCCCAAGTGCTCTACAGGTGATAAACGTCTTTCTTTTGGTTCCGCTTACTACTCCTTAAAACTTCTTCTCTTCCTGGAAACCTGCTGTATTTGCTTCAGTATAGGTATGTATTAGCTTTCCCTGTATATTTTGTCTTGTTTAAGATCACAAGGTAATACTGTAAGCATGGTATCGCAGAAAGTCGACTCTAATTCATAGAGCATAGTATGAAAACTTGTAAAATCTCTATGTCAGCACTGCTTTACTCCAACATGTGCAAAACAAGGCAGAAAAAAACCTTCTCTTCCTCCTTTTTCCTTGTTAAAACTGCATGCACTATCAAGAACACATTCCACTTCAGAGTAAGATCTATTTTTGCAGTAAGCATCAATAAAATTTCATTTAGATGGATGCACATAATTTCCCAATTAATTAAAATTGATAAGATTATTTTTATTTTGTTCTTTCAGGCTTGAATAAAAACTTACATCTTTTCCCACGACTCTGAGTTCAAACTGTGTTTCCTTGAAGTGAACTTTTGTAATTCTCGGCCTGCAACATGGAATAAAAAGACAGAAAGAATTAATAGAACTTTGATTTCATAAAAAGAAAATATAAACCTGTATATATTTACATACAAACATAAAAAAAAATAGGTAGTATTTTTTCTACATCTACACCTCACACGGATTTCAACAGAAAGCAGCAATATTTAAACATTTCTGCATGAGTCCAATAAAGATAAAATGGGTTTTATATTGAAATCAAAAATTACATATTTACACATTTATATTGAAATTGGATTGTTGAGTATTTACAATTTTGGAATAATCCAGATTAAGAATTCCAATTATGAAATGTTTTTTTTTCCTCCTAAATAAAACTGACTCTTGAACATACTATACATTTCTGTACAATAATATTGTTTAAACACAGACTGCACACTTAAGTTGTACATACCAGAAATATTTCCCTACTTGTTTTTTATTCTTGTAGACGACAACTCCTACAGGTGTTAATCCTAAAAAATATTCTGATTTGTTTTCACCCTAGAAAATAAAACATATGGCATTTAATTATTTATATCAGCAATTTTTATCATAGTAGCAGTAAGGTTTAGAGAAGGAAATTCTGCTATTGCTCACATCGTTTTGTCCTTCCTGTAATGGGGAAAACAGTACTTGATCTAGTGAAAACCCATATAATAAAACTTCTATGTACAGATAGAAAATAGTAGAGAAGAATGCAAGATTCCACATTCCACAGTAAATAATAATAATAATAATTTATTAAAGGAATTATGTTCAGCTTTTTGGCAAATGACCAGAGTTCAGAGAATAAATTCTTTATTAAGACGATAGCGACAGACATCCTAAACCCTAGCTAAAGGTACACAGTGATTTCTTGACCTACCTCACTATAGTTTAATTTCCCTTCCACAATAAGATCACCTGTGTGCCTCTACAGAGTGGTCCTAAATGAACTAACCACTTTGAGAGATTCAGAATTTTTCAGAATGGTAACAACATCCAAGGGTAACGAGGAGGGGTCAGATCATCTTCTCCAAAGGAAACTGTTCCCAAGATTAATAGCTCAGTTGCAAATCATATGTGCACAAAGTACAATGAAAATTCTGGTAGTGAATGGCAGAAACTCTCCAGCTCCCTTATTTGTAGTCAATAATCAGAATTACAACCTGCACCAACCTAGATTCCTAAAGTTTCAAATTAGACAAAGTCACAAGCTCCAGAAAATTTGAGTCTTCTGAAGTTCCTATCAGCCCTTTTTGAATTACTGCTTAGATAGTGAAAACAGAACAATCCAAAACATTTCCTTGAGTTCTTTCTGAATTAATCTGAGAAAAGCCTACAAGATTTCTGGAAGCAATTCATCTTTTTTTTTTTTTTTTTAAGCTGTAATCAGCAGTAATCAGTTAACTGTTCTCCCACTCAATCTTCTGTGGAGCAGAGGAGGCCACCAAAATGAATGTTGTCAGAGTGGCTCTTTTAAACCTTTTAGAGAGTTTCAGTATTGTGGGCTCTGCTTTTAGAAGCATCTTTTGAGGAAAAAGGGACAGCATTTTTATCACTAAACTTTCCTAGGGAATTGCAAAAATTGGTCTAATGCCCCTAAGAATTCCATTACCAAGGAAAGGCCTGCAGAACAGAAGCATGATGGACACAGAGCACAAAGATCCAGTTCAAGTGTTACTTTACTAGCTGCTAGTTCTGATTTGTTCCAGTTACAGCTTCAGTAGCAAACAAGCTTTGTACTTAAGCCTTTACTACAGAGTATTATGGCAGGTGCTTCTCCCTGAGAGTGAAGGGAAGCAGCAACATAAATGGTAAGAAAAGTCCACTAGAAGCCTGGTTTTTGTTTTGCTTTACCTTATACTTTTGTGCATAGTCATTACTACTAAATCCTATGTTGTAGTACCTTATGATACTTAAAGTGCTTGAAAGACTGCAGGTGTATGAGGTTCTTTACAGAGTCACTTCCATGAAGTTTTATTTTTTTAAAAATAAATAAATAAATAAATAAATAAATAAAAGCATCAGCTAGAGGTAGGTTAGTTCATCTGCCTGCTTGGGAGAACTAGTTCTATACCAACAGATAATGAACCACAAAACATATCTGTGTGGTTATGAAAGTGATAAAGCTCAAGCATATCTCCCTGAGCTCTGCCTGTGCTCCAAAACAAATGAACTACTAAAGGCAAGTTTATTTTCAATACGACCAGATAATGAAAAAAATGTATCTCTTTATATCTATATCTTCAGCCTCAAAGAGGTAATCTTGGGCTGCAACATAAATACAATGATAAAGGGGTTTGACCTAAGCACACTATGATGAACTCCTCATAACTTGGCTGATATGTCCCTGTAGGACAAAAACAAAGAGAAAATAAATTTTCTAGACTCTGCAATTTTAACACGATTTTTGTTGGATCATATTGACGTTTGTTCCAGTAACTCTTCCACTTCCTACAGGTGGAGTCACATAGAGCACTAAATATGAATACCATTACACCACAATGCATATTAAGAAATACTTAGTAGTGTGGACTACATAATTGTCAAGTCTTTTGATGGTGTCTTGACTTCATTACTTTAAGTAATTTCACAAAGTATTGATATCTAACTCCATGAACTATTTACATAACTCCTCATTTAGGCTTCTGATTTTCTTTTATTCGGGGAAAAAAATGCCATGAGCATATTAGCACAATTATTCAAACAAGACAGAATGATGTTTCTATGAGAAGCACATAGCCTTCAGGTGATGGCTTTGATCCAATCCCAACATATATGTTGTTTTACAAAAAAGGTAGAAGGATCTGCTGAGGCAATATAGAAAACTTACAATGCTGCATTATATTGCAGAGGAAAAAGTTTGAACATGCTCTGGCTCTTTAACAAAACCTTCACAAATGACTATCAAAACACGACAGACATTTTCCTACACCATTTTTGGTTTTGGTGATGCAATGATTCTGTAATCTTTTCATCTTTCACTCACTGTATTCCTTCCAAAAGGAATAATGCGCAAATTCTTTTGTCAAACACAAGAAATATAACCCTTTTTATATTTTCTGACACTTACACTAATTAGCCTTCCAAATTATCAGCACTGCTTTTTTAAATACAATTGATAGTCTTTCATAGGAGTAATGCAGTCACAATCTGAAAGCCATGAAGCTTCCTCATGTGAACGATGTAATCCATTCAGTCTGTAAACAACGTGTTTAAGACTTTTTGAGTACTTTTTTTTTTCTTCTTCTTTTTTTTTTTTTTTTTTTGTTTTAAGGGACTGCCTGAGGACTAGACAGTACAAATACTCTCCCCCCCCAGGAGATTTTCTGAATTGCTGTCAAGTTTAAAATATATAATTATATACAATACTTACATAAACAGGATGGAGATCCACTCCATACATTTCCAGGGATTTGGCCAGCCCCAAGTAATTTGATTCTGCTTTAGCAGGAACTTGACCCCTGTAAACAACATTCTGAGTAAGAACTTTGCACTTCCAGTTAACATTAAATTAAGGGCGTTTTTTTCATTAAAAAAAGAAAAAATGTTTGCTAGACAGGTATGCTACCCTTCCTACCATTTTGCTAAGTGTCATTATCTTCTCAGGACTGTATGTCTGCTGGCTTCAAGTAAGACTTCATAGTGGGCACAAATTTTTACTACAAAATTCTGCGCTGTAAGATCCTGTCATATATAAAATGTATGTTAACTAGTGTGACCTACCACACTAATGCCCTGCTGCCTCTAACATGCTTCAGATGTTTCACTTTTAGGCTTGCATATACAAGCTCCCCTCAAGCAAATACATGATTATTAATAAGAATGAGTGAGTGACTGGGGGAATGTTTTCCCATAGAAGTGCTGAGGCTAGTAAGAATTTCTGAAGTCAAGGTTCATGACTTCAGATGAAATACTCTCGTCTTCATAAAATCTTGCCTACAGGAAGTCAGGCCAGCTGGTAATACCCAAGCCTGCTACTGTAAAAACAAAGTCTAGAGTCCAGTGCTAGAGATTAGCAGTTTCACACACCCAACTTGTCTTTCTATCTGCGAATATCAACGCATCAGTTAATAACTACTATGAGCTTCATGGTGGGAAGAAACAATGGGGAAAAAAAATGGAGAAAAAATGGCTAATAGGGACATACTTGACATCACTGAGGGAGGAATTGTTTTCAGAGACTAAATTCATGGTGTTCAACAACAGATTTCTCAGAATTTTGTTTGTTCTTCCCTTAATTATTGCCACTGATAGAACAGTAAGACCACCCACTGCAAATAACTGAAAGTGCATTTTCACCCTCACAACTTCTTAAAGTTCCTATGAATGCTGCTAGCGTGTACAGAAAGAGCCACTCGTGATCATGTAAACATCAACTCTAAGAAATGAATCCCCTGCTTCTCCCTGTATCTTGGAGAAACATTTCAATGCATTTGCTACCACTCATATTCAAAGTGTGAGGCAGAGCTCAAGATCTTGACCCAAAACCTGGAAACTCCTGCAATATATACATTTTCTCAAGTCTCCCCATTCTCTTTAGCCTAGCAAGTACCTTGCTTTTTAAATAATAAAGCAGTGCTAGCCTGAATACAGTAATATAAGCATTTTAAATGGCTTCTCTACCTTTGAGAGACAGGTTGCTTTGCCCTGGCTTATGCACAGAACATCACTGACACAGCCTTGGGTGTTTGCATTATTTGTGAGGAGTCTTGGAGAAGCAGCAGACCTGAGGCTTGTAACTAAGTCCTTTCCTCAAGACCTGGAGCAGTGGTTCACCTCTGATCCACAACATGCAGAATGCTGGGTATTCAGGATGCCATGGTCAGCAAATTTGGCATTATTTTCCTCCACTGCTGCTATAAAAATTCACTCCACAGCTTGTTTTTCTAAATCATATTTATAGCTCTCACAGATAACAGCAAAATGTTCATCAAACCAGCACTGTCTCTGAGTTCACAGCAGGCTGAAAATCAGTGCTGAGCAAAGAAATTACCTCATCAATGAATTATCACTGGAGTCCAACAGCAATTTAAATATCACTGCTACTATTTCCTTTCTGATAATACATAAAAAAACAAAAATACACTTGTGTACTTATTACACCAGTCACATTAATTTCTGAAAGTACTTAAGAGATCCAAATGTCAACTGCATGTGTACCTTAATATTTTTAAAATTATACTTAATATATAAATATGATATTTGCAAAAATACTCAGTGAATAGTTGGTCTGTGTGTAAGAATGTAAGGGAAGGATAATGTCGCCCCAAATATAGACGGTGAAGACATATGGGGAGGAGTCATGGCAATGGTCAAGGCAATGAGATGGTGAGGCAAGGCCAAGAACTGAAACTGCTCCTAACATCAAAGAATAAAAGTTTCTTTTTTTACCATATACAGAAATACAAGCTCTCCTTAGCATCGTGCATCTTGCCAATACATCTCAAATCTGAAACAGTTTTTGTAGTTGATAATAAATGTGCACCTCTTCCTTGCCTGGACAAACAAAGTACACCAGAGAGCTACTCTTAAATCCATTACGGGCATTTTAGCTTTCCCTATGTCCCCCAGATAACATGCAATATTGAATCAAAACATTCCAACAGCTGACCTGCTATATGTTGGTTACTCCCAATCTGCTGGGGCAACAACTGCAAAGGGCAATATTAGCTGTGCCATTTGCACTGAAGCATCATAACCCTCCTTGCAGCAACCTAGGTGCCTGCTTCTTTCAATGCAAGAACTGAAGCCACTTGTTGTTGCTGAAGATGCACATGGCAACATAATCACGTTGCACTTCATTATTTGACCTCAGGATTGTCGTGCCCAAAAACGGTATCAGGTTGGAGAAACTTGGTGCAACCAGGACAACCCCCATCTCTAAATTGTCCCACCTTCACATGAATCTGAAACTTGCTTCAGAAACTTTATCTCGAACAAATTCGGAAATATATACTGTGCTTTGTAAAATCTGATTGCTGAGCTCCACAAACCTATGCACAGACATTCAAATGTCTGCAAGTTGGTGAGAAAAACTGGAGATATGTCCTTAGTCACTCCAGCTTGAAAAATCCTATCCAGGGACAGATCTCACGTGTGTACAGAACGTATGCAGTGTTGATGCTGACAGTCAGGCTGAACTAGCACTGAGTGCACACATTCATATCACTCGTTCTTCCAATGTCTCTAAATCTCTGCCACCCAACTGCAATGAAAGGAGGATCAGAGCATCAGAGCTCTGGCTCAGTAAGCATCTAAAACCACTATGGTTAAGACAGCTACCAAGCCTCTTCACAATTGCTGCTCCCCCACTTCTGAATTTCATTTTTAAATTTACAAACACTTCAAGCTAAATGAATCATAGTATGATTTATTGCACAAATGACTAGAGAAACTAAAGGAGTGAAGGCTGCTTAGTACTGGTGATCTGGAATAAATCATAGAATCATCGAATCATTAAGGCTGGAAGGGACCTCTAGAGGTCATCTGGTCCAACCCCCCTGCACACGCAGGGTCACCTAGAGCACGTGGCTCAGGGCTGTGTCCAAGCGGGTTTTGAAGATCTCCAGAGAAGGAGACTCCACAACTCTCAAAGCCAGTCTCTGTGATGTTGACCTAAACAAACTCCTCATGCCTCATTTTCCTATCTCTAGAAAAAACAACGAACAAAAAACCTAATAAAAAGACTCATAGTAAGATTCACTGTAATGCATCAGTTACAAGAGAGCAGTCAACAACCATACAGAAAAAAAAAAAAAAAATCACTTAACAACCAATTCTCTTCCCTAAAAGAGAAAGCTCAAAGCAAAGTGGCAGGTGGCACACATTCCAACCAAAGGAGAAGGTTTCAAAGCTAACAGCTCTGAGTTAATACCTATTCTCATTAAACAAGATACAGGTAACATCAGCATACAGAACTACAGGCAAAAAACTACTTAGCCTTTATCCAGATTGTGGCTTTATTACAGCTGGAGGATCAAGAAATCTAGATGTAAATACAAGATGGCTAGTTCTGATTATCTCTACATGACTGACAAAAGGTACGAAGAACATGCTCTGATCTTAGTAATGTTATAGTTATATCACAATGGCACCTAACTGGGATTTGTTAGAACATGCTTCTTCTACACTTAGTAAGAATATGAAGCTGGAAATAAGAAACTGTTTATTTTGGCTTTACCTACAGTATGTATGTCTTTCATACATTCTATTTTTAAAACCAAGTTTACATTAGCAGTTTTGAAGGCACTACAGACAAACATTTGGAACTGCAGGCTGGGAAGTCAGATCTTTCCGACTTCTCGGACCTTCGCAGTGACTGCTCAATCTGCTCTGCAACTCACATATCAAGTGAACTTCATTCCAAAACTGAACTCATTCAAACTACTGAGATTTCACACACACAAAAATGTAAGTGGGTCAGAAAGAAGCACTCTCCCCCTTTCTGATGGCACCTCCCCAAACTCCAAATAAGCTCTTTGCTTGAACTTCCATGCAAGATTGCTGATTTTTTCCCCTTTGCTGCTCCTGTTGTTTCTTATTCAAGCACTGAGAAAAATGGGATGAGAGGTTACAAGTCCCATCTTTCTTTGTTTAGCTACTTACCTCCCCAGTCCATTTCCTATCCATTCTTACTGCAGTTTTGCATCCCACTGCTTTGATCAGTAATCAAGGAAAGATGTCACATGCACAAATTGCAATGTGACACTGAATTCCAAAGCAGTATCTTTGGGTCCATCATAAGGCAGAGACTGTCCATCATGACAAAGATGGTACAACGCAGCTTTTTTTGTATTCAGGGTGATTATCATTTCAATGCCTGGAAGATGGAGAACCAAAGCTCTGCAAGGCTCTTTTATCAGAATGAATGTCTTTTACAGCTTCTTCCAAGATTAAGCTGAGGAGTTTGTTGACATATGTGTTTCAAATCCCTCCAGGTCCCTTTTGTCCTGTCTGCAGTAAGGTTAATATTCTACTCCTAGAAGCATTTTGTGTCTGTCTTATTTTTATACCTTCTCAGCTTCTTCTCAGGCCAGAGAATGTTTTCAGGTTCAGTTTTGATGCCTGCAAACCTCTGTATTGCCTGGTTCAATTTAAACCAAAAATCTTCTGATGCCACCAATTATCTTGTGCTCCCACTGCTTTTATGTTCACGCACATTTTTAGAATTTTTGTCAAAAGCCAGCACTTTTAAATGACTTGAGTTCTTCAGTGCTGCCTGATGACTTTATTTTTGCTGCCTGATTATTTATTAGGGTTTTTTTTTTACTTCTGAAAGTGGCAAAATTATTGCAGCATATATTAAACTGATCGCTGCCAATGTCGGCTAATACTGTGAAAAGACTTTATGCTTGTACAACTGAACTGCCTCTACAGATTTTGCAACTAAGACTATCACTTAAGCTTTGGTCATACAAACCACTTTCCTGGTACCTCCTGCAATGTGAGTTGCTCTCACAAAGATTACACAGGTTGCTACAAGCATTCCTTCCTTACTCCAGCTAAAAAGCTGGGAAGAAAAGAGACAGTTCATTGTACTAAGTGCTGTACACTACTATATTGAAAGCATTTTTATACTAACAATTGATTACCAGAATACACAGAACAGGATAAGCAAAAGAAACATTATCCCCATTTTACAGAGAACAGACAGAGGCATGGACACAAAAAGCAAAATTACAAAGGAAATCTGTGCTGCAACAGGGAACTGAACTCAAACAGTTCAGAAGACTTAGATTTCTTTCTTTTCCACTACAACAAAGAGAAGACAGAACCACTATTAAAATTGCTGGTTCTAAAACACTTGTACCTAGGCCTGACAGACATCATATTCCCATTTATTTTCCTATTCAGTTAGAAAAGAACACTTTTAAACATATTAGTTTTTTCTATTCTACTTTGTGGAGGAACATAACTGTATGCTCTGCATGTCCTGAAGTCTGCAGGCCTCCAGGTGGCAATATAAGAAGTGCTCCCTGTTTGCACTTTTCAGATATTTCTGAATCTGATTTTAAATGAAAAGTTCCCAACGTTATTGAATTCTTACATCAGAGTTTTGTGTATCCGTTCTATGGCATCTTCCAGTTCTTCCTTCTGGTCTGGAACAAAGCGGTACTCCGACACGTAACCTGAAGTATGCTTATACGGGTCATAGTCCCCCAGCTCAGCTACACAAAGAAGAACAGAAAAAAGTGTTCGCAAGTTCTGGATGTTTTATGTTAACCAGAAAGTATATTATTTAATCCATCTATTTGTGTCAATTAATCTTTAGCCAAATGACTGTTATTTCACCAAGTAATCACACAGAAAAACAAACAAACCTCTTCTTCTGATGGAGAAAAACAACAAAATATGCTGTTAATGCAGAAAACTGACCATACAATGCCACCTAAAAGTCTTCAAACATTTTTAAAGAGAAATTTAAGAGGTAGAGTTCTTAAAGAGCTAGAAATCTGGGCCAAGGTCTTACTTTTACAGGACTAGATCTAATTTTGTCCAAGACAATGTAAGTTGAACTTTGATATTTTATGTTATTTGGCAGTATATGCAAAACAAATGTAGAGGTCCAGTTTTTAAGATCTTTGTCTTCTTAAGTTGTCACATTATAAGCAGAACTGATTCACCTTCTTGCTGAGGCTCTAAACAGAAATGTCAAAATCTGAATGAGAATGTAGACAAGTACCATGAGATAAACCATGAGATGGACCCAGAGATTTTCTTTGTTTGAAAAGTGCAGTTTCTTGTGAGCAAACAGAAGTCATTCTCCAATAAAGTATCATTATATTTCCTGAACACTGACTTTCAAAATAATCGTAAAGAAATAATTTTTTCTTTAAAAGAATAAAGATTTTCTTTAGGAAAGAAAATAGAATTTGCATTCCTTAGTTACATTACTTTACATGTGGCCATACAATTACAAAATAAATATGCACTTTTGTCAGAACGTACTTCTGCTGATCTTAATTGTGAGGAATTGAATTTATCTGAGCAACTGTGCTACAGTTAATGATTAATTCGTTTAAATAATCCTGAGCAAAACTGCCACAAATGGAGCCCCTGTGAGAAAGTCTTCACTGGTGGTTTCCATCCAATACTAACTGAAGCCTTAAACACAGCCAAGGGGAAACTACAAGGGCCACAAAAGGAAAGGTTCCTCTGACCACTCATGTTTCTTTCTAGACTTTACTAACGTTTCCAGAAAAAGATATTTATCTGTTCAATGCAGATGTTGAGAAGATCCTCAAAAAACTTAAAAGTATTTCATTAGGATCAACAGGAACTGGGATGAGCAGAGCTTCTCAGCTCTACTGAATTTGAACAAATGCATTTCACCTCAGTTTGGAAAAAAGAAAACAATAAAGCCTGGCAGAATACCTCTGGAAAGTTGCTGGTGCTTTGGGTTTGTATTTTAAATACTTGCCACAAATGTACCTCAGGTACAACTGTAGGCCTTAAATAAAAAGACAACATTTTTTATGGAAACAATGGCAATGTATATTTACCAGCGCCAGGTCTAAATTTTATTTTCTAATCTTTCTACTCTTTGCTGTGCTTTAAGGGACCTCCCTTGCGTGAGCTTCCTCAATGTTTTCCCACAGAACAACCGAAATTAAAATCACACAAGCAGGATTTTCTATCAATACAGTAGCTTCCCACATTTTAAGCATCTTATAAAAAGACCAGATGACAAGATTTTTTTAATGCATTTCTCACAGTATGTTTAAGATGTTTCTGCTTCATACTGCAGTGGGAAGGGAAAGTGAAAAGCACATTGCAAAGAGTTTTTCAGAGTAAGTCTAGCCAATGGCAAAACGTCAGTAAAAAATAAACATCTGAAAAAGCAGCTTCTGGTTTCTTTGAAATGTATGCAACACCATGAAATTCAGTGATGTCTACTCTGTATACAAGTTTGTACACATTCTGCCTAGTTATTCTCAAATATAAATGAAAGGTCTATTTTTTTAATCTTGTATTGTGGGTTGTTGAATCTCATTTTCAATATCAATAATGTAGATAATCGTTGCTTAGTATATATCTCATAGAGGAAACACACATCTAACAAAACAAATCAAGCAGTCAGTTCTTACCATGACTGGTCACAGAATTTTACTATTATCTAATTAATTATTAGTGACAATTAACTATTATCTAATACCAAGGGTATCTATTGTGTTTGAATGTAGAGTTTGAAGTACAGTGTAAAAGGAATAACTGGTAGACAGACAGTTCCTTCCTAATTGATTGTTAGTTCTATCAAGTATGTAGGATATAACTTCCACTTCTGAAAAGCTAAATACTGATGCATGCAGGTAAATGACAGCAAGAATTCAAATTCTTTACTTCGGGTCAAAGCATATCTTCATTTCAAGCAGAGACACTTTCATATTGACATAATGTAAAATCTGAAAGATTATTTTATTTGACAGAATGTGCTGGCTGGAGACTACCAATGACCCATCAACTCTCAAAATTGCCTAATGAAGTGAAAAATACACTACAGGAAAGAAAATAAAATAAAAGGTTGTTGACATATTCTACATGCAAGGACAAAATAAAGTATTCCTGACAGGGATAACAGTGTTCATCGGACTCTTCAGAAGATTTTTTTATGCATTTCTTTAGTATTTATATATTATCAAATTTATTACTTCTACCTCCTCTGTTCTAAATGAGCAGTTATTTACAGCCCCCTGCTTCAAATCAATCTGATCCGTTTTGTTCTAGTCTGAAACAAACACTGAAATAAAATTGACACTTAATTCTGAAATTAAGGGTTAAATCTTCAGTGAACACTTAAAAAAATCCTAATAGAAGATTAAAAGAAATAAGTTGTGGGCTGACCAGACGAACTTACACTGAATCACATATGCTCCCAGCTGTGCTGCTGTGTTTATTGTACAAGGCAAGCGGCCCTGTAGAACATCTTGCTTGACCTGCAAGAAAAACTGATACCTAAAACACAGAGAGGAGACAAAGCTTCAATGTTGAGTCTGATGCGCAAAGTAACATTTCATCATCTTTCAGTTAACTAAAAACATACCATGCAACATTATTAAGTGACAAGCAAAAACTGTATTCCCTTCTGAATTACTTTTTCTCTCCTAAGCTTTAAGTAAAAACTGAGATAAATCTAGTGATAGAAAATGGATAGGGGAGAACTCTCCAGTTTTCCTATCTGCTTATATTGATCAAACGAAATTAATTTTCCTCATAAAAACGTAATTTCAGTCTTTTAACTTTCATAGACCAGCGAGGAAACAGGTAAGAGAGGTAAAAATTAAAAAAAATAAATAAAAATAAATAAATAAGATGTTATTAAAGAACCAAGGCTTAACCTGATTAATCAATCAATGTAGGGAAGAAAAGGGCAAGAGACATCTCTTGAATCAATGGTAGGGAGCAGGAAGCAGATTTCACTGGGCCCAATCTCTCATGAAGGAAGGGTCGGTATATTACCAGCAGCTAACTGTATTTGTCTTCCTGCAGAGCACCTTCCCTCTTGGAACAGAGATAGCAGAGATAAAATGTAATTTTTGAGTTGTAACCTGCTCCCACATCCACTTGATGAAGTAGCTACTCAGGCCTCAAAATAAAGTCCCACCGATGTAAAAATCGGCAGCAAGACTGAAAATTCAAGGCAAATTCAAGGTTTTTAAGAATATTTATTACTGATGAGGATCTCAGCTTACAGCCTTACAACGAGTACAAACCAAATATTTCCTTTTAGGAAAAACTTTGGTCATGCATACAGTACATGTGTGTGTGTGTATGCACATTTATGTACACACACATATATACATATACATACACACAAAAAAAGGTAACTAATATTATGAGTACTTTCACTTTTCATTAATTCCGCTTCCTGTAACTGCTTTATTCTGTATAAAGAGCAAGCCCTTTTGTTCAAACTTGTAGCTATTCTCCCCTTGTTCACTGTCAGGTTTGTCACGTGTACACGATACTGCAGTTTTAGCAAACACATCCATGAAATGTTAATAGGAATCATCTCTGTGTTAGCTTTTGTCCACAAATGAAAATTAGATTTTGGTGTGAAGCATTTGCAAATTTGACTGTTTTTCATTATTTGCAAATAGTAATCATGTTAATGCCACAGATGATTAACACCTAGTACCTACAGACTGCACTCACATACACATTAAAATAACAAACATATGCTCCAAATAAACACAGTTAGCACATCACTGGAATCACACAGTTCCTGATAAAAATTATCATAAAGAAAAGGGTAGCTGTCATCCCTTCTGGGCTTTATTATTGTGGTTTTATTATTTTATTTTTTTCCTGAAAATATATTTCTTCCTTTCAGGGTTAAAGGGCTTACAGTAATAAATGCCTATAAAGTTTGATGACTTTGGGCTATTCTTCAACGTGTATTTGAATAGTATAGTTATTCCTTTTTTTTATGTGCCTCTGTAGCCTTTTGGGTGCAACTTTTGCATAAGCAAACACTGTGCACACAAAAATAGAGGCTTACTATTTATGCAAAAAAGCTTCCCAACCAGAAGTTTTTTACATACCAACTTAGCAGTGCAAATCACAGACTAACTTTATTACAAGGAAAACAAAAATTCATCCTGTGTCATTCCACAGATATAAATCCGACCTGCCTCCCAAGCAGTAATTATAACAGGTCCTATTGCTCAAGTTCTCTTCCCAGGGCCATCTTTTTCACCCTGTGAGCAGGCATGAAAGCAATTCTGAAAAAGTACAGCAGAACTATATCGTACTTTCAGGGTTGAGAAGTATTGCATCCAGCTTATGCTGTTTAGCTGCAGAATTACAATTTTATTTTTACCAGGTCAATACCAGTCTTGTTATACTGAGACTTCCTACTGCAGTGCACTTATGGGAAAAAGAAATCTTCATTGTGGTACATGAAAAATATCTTGCTTACCCTGTAATAACTGCCACCTCTGATTAAGGAAAATTAAAATCCCTGCATGCATTCAAATGAATTCTCATGTGTCATAGCCCTCTTGAGCATTAACTTGGACATCAAAAGAAATATTTGGGTATTTATTAATGCAAGTCTCTATTCATCTACATATCACATTTTTCAAAGTTCCCTTTGAATATAAAATTGTCTAAGATCTTTGATAAATAAAGCAATCAGAAAAACCTCCATGTGAGAGTGTATATGAGAGGTGGTTTTTGTTTCTTTTTTTTTTTTTTCTTTAAAAAAAGAGGCCAACCTTATTTAAAAGAATTCAAAGTGCATAACTCTTCAATTTCCTTAACATATTTTTAGAAGTACAAAGAAAAGTTCTCTTGAAAGACAGTCTTGGAATTTAAGGTATGACCAATGAAGAAAATTCCCAGTATTTAAAAGCTCAAGTAACTCTAAATTTTACTGCAGCGTATGCATAAGGACAGATGGAGAAAAAAGAGAGTGAGCAGAGACAGCAAGCAAGGCGAGAGAACCAACCTAAATTGTATGCTTTTTTTTTTAAAAAAAAATGCATTAGAAAGTACCTTTTCATCCCAAAGAGGGATTATACCAGCCTCTCTGAAACTATTTACAATTCTCTTCCTGAACATACAAATGCTCCAGCAAAAAGAACCTAGTCACATCACAGCAGTACACACCCGACTTTAATGCCTTAAAAACCAACAAACTCTGCTTATATCAAATCATCGCACCTTGTTATTTCTTCTTTAAGTTTACATGGATCTTCTGCATAGAATTTAATGCCAAAGTAAAGGGTGTATGGTGGTCCAGCTGAGGAAAAAAGAAAAAATGTCAGAGCAGAAGATAATAGTTATAAATATTATCTGATTATAAAACACCTGCCATTGAGTTTATAAAACATGAAGTCACCAATAAATCCTAACACAGTCCTATAAAATTCCTTAGCAACATAAAAATAGATAATTATAATAAAAATACTAATAGCATAATAATAATCAATCAAGATGAAGTGAATTGTTCTTTTCTTTTTTCCTAGTCTATTTATTCATGTCCTATATTCTACCTGGAGTTCTACCTTGAAGATTTTAGATTTCAGTGCCATTTTTCCAAGATTTCTTCTAATCCTTGGTTTTGACTTTTAGATCCCTTTTTTACTGAAACTTTTTGAAAAATGCTACTGTATGAAATGTGATTTCCTATGATAAATTATACTTAATATTAACCTTATCCACATTTTCAAATATCTTATGAAGAAATCACAGTTATATGCCAGTTTAATAAATATTTAAAAGAGCTTTTCTAATTTATCTTTTATGCATATATACACATATAGTCTCAGTCCTGAGATTCTTACAATTGTATTTGTTTCATGCACTCTACCACTTTAACATCTTTTAAAGAAAGTCTACAATTTATCGGTTAAGAAATCTTACCTAACTCTTTTTATTGCAATGCAAGCAACATAAGACAATATATTATCAACAAGAGGTAACGTTTTTACTTTCCAAAAAAAACGTGATTAGTATGGTAGAGGTATCATAGCAACTACAAAACTAATTATACAAGTTAAGAGTACAATTTGCTATTCTAGATTAGAAATGCAATGGCAGAGAAATCCTTGGACACTAATCTCACAAATGCCCCTAGAAAATAATGGTACATTCAATGTGTGTGAAATTTTGACACGGCTATGAACAGTAGCAATCACTAACTTAAGAGTTGTTAATTTTTTGCAACTAGAATATAAATGCCTTATATAGGCTATACACACACACACGTATACACACAAAGATTAACTACTGTTTCATCTTCATGTAGTTTTTTCCAAGTTTGAATTAGTTACATACTGTTTATCAAATCCTTATGTTCAGCAAGAGTCTTTGCAGGATCCAGCCAGTACTGTGAGACAGAATTATGGAAGTTAGTCACTTAACATGGAAAATTAGCACACAGTAATTTCAATTATGTATTTATTCATATATTGATTTTTTTTCTCACAAACATAAAACCAAGAAGATGATTTATTTTCTTAGCAGAATACAGTAACTTTGTCGGGATTACATTAACACAAAAGTTGGCAGTCTATCTGCATAAGACACTTTTGCCTGCTAATGACAGACTCTTAGCAGCAGAGATCTTTCTGATCAGAGAAACATTATCTGTGTAAGTGCAGTATTTCCTAACTTCTTTGAGGAAACAGGTCTTCCTAAAAGGAGATATGCTTGGTAGAAGATGCCACATATTAGTCTCATGACAAGTTGACCCAGTACAGGATTTATACAGTACACTGCTATTTTATTTCTAGGAGATTAACTCAAGGCTATCTCTGAAATAGCAACAAAGCATGCAAGAGAAGACTTCTAAAAAGGATGAAGGGGCTCCACTTCTCCATGGCAAAAAGCAAAAAAGTGGGGATTTCAACACCAAGAATTGCTCTAAGAAAATGCTGCTCAATTTTATTTTGTTTCCACTTTGCTTTGAGTTTTAGAAAGGCTTTCTAACGGTAGAGGAAGGAACCATTGGCAAATAGCACCCAGTGAGAAAGGGTGCAGGTGTCTTTCCCTGCTGGCTGACAATCGTGTCAGATCTGAGCAGGGGGTACTTGGTGTGCTGCCATGGCATGAACTGTTATGAGGGCTCCTACCTCATTTGATCAACAGACCAGGGAAAATCCATTGTATAATTTCTTATGCCTCTGATCCTTCGTTATCAACTTGTGATCAAGGCCATTTTGAATGTTACTGCTGAGCACAGTTCCACTGCATCCACATGAGCTGAATACTTCTCACAACGGCTACATGGTCACCAGCATGACGTACAACCCATTCCTACAACCACTGCATTAGATTATTTTTTTCAGCCTGCCCACCATTACCAGAAAAAAAAAGCGCAGGGCAGCTGCCAAAACCATTCCTGTCTTTACTCTGTCCTGTTCTCTGCAGGCATGAATTTCCACGTCATGCAAGAGTCATGCATGAACTTTTTTGGACCAGTCAACAACAGCATGCATTTTCAAAACACAGGAAGGAAAAAGGCTGCAGAACACAGCTTTCAAAAAGTGCTTTTTGAGCCCGAATTTACTCCCTTCATGCCTCCCATTTTTAGCCAAGGAACTATGCAGATGAACAAATGAGGAAACTCCTTACTGCCTGCTAAACTAATCCCAAAGAGAACCAATCTTCCTCTTCTGGCAAGAGAACATCTCCAGAGCAGAGAATGCTGCTACTAAGGAGTAACATAAAGAGGAGTGTCCAGAAAACACCCAAAGTGGTAGGGGGTGGGAGGCAGAAATTGAACAACTAAATGAACAACCAGTTGTTAACAACTACTGGTATTTTGACGAAACATGAGAACAAACTATTTCCTGCTAGCTGCTGCTCCACCTGGACTATAACCAGCTACATGCCATGCCCTGGTCTAGCTAAGTGGTAATGCCATTCCTCATCCAGGAATATTTGTTGAGCACTGACACAAGCTAAGATTACCAGAATTACCATCCAACCAATGAACTACATTTTGAAACAGAAAATAATTAAGATGGCACCTCACACATGAGGAAAACCTTATACTTGCCTCTTTACATTCTCATGAGCCAAATAAGACAGTTTAATAGGGATAAACAGTGATTATAAGATATGTCAAATGTGCTAAAGAAACAAGACACTCAGTCTATATTTGTTTTGAATACATTTGAACTTCAACAGAGAGTGGGAAGGGAAGAAAAACTTGTCACACTTGTTCAAACAACCTCTTAGAACGCCTTATCAGCAACAATCTAAGCTAGCACAGTAAGTCAATAAAATAAATTTCAAAGTCAACAGGTAAGAAAAGGGCAAGACTTACACCAAAGTGCACATTCTGATCTCAGAACATCCTGCTTTCCATCACAGTGTGAAAAACACCTTGCCAAGATGGCTTGCTTTTATTGACAGTGTTGGGTTACATTGCCAGAAATCAAAACTATGCTCTTTCAAATTCAGATCATAATTTATAAAAGATAATTCATCAATCTTTAAAGCAAATACAACTTTCATTAACTGAACCAAAATTAGCTTCAAGATTGGATGTGCATTGTTTTGATGCGCAGACAAATTAATTGTATGTCAAAAACTGATATTGGAGTATCATCATTCTAGTTGGCAAGCCAAGCAAAGGAGTATTACAGATTTCTGGTCATCTCTGTAACCTGAATTCTGTTGCCTTTTGTACCCCTCCAATACACTGGCCTTGACGGGACAAAACAGATTGCAACCCCATAATTAAAGCCTGTATCATCACAAATGTAAACAATGCACGCACATTAAAGTTGCATTAGAAGTCTTAATTTTCCTATTTCCTACTTATACAGTACTTGACTTTACAGCCAAAATTATATTCTCTGTACAGTCTTTGGAATGCAACTTCCAAGGTAGAGGAAGGACAAAGTGCAGAGGGACAATTCAAAATTCAGATTCAGAGGGAATCTGAGAAGATTCATATTGCTAAGCATTTTTTTCCTTCCCTAAAACTGCAGGGATTCTAAGATCTCACCACTGCAAAACAGATTGTTTCTACTTGTACTGGAAAAACCCTGTATCAGCTGGCACTAGGAACAGGCTCTTTTGAAGGTACCGGGGGCCTCTAAATTAATGCACTGTGTAGGTGAAGGTAAACAGTTCAGCTCAGGCTGGTTTGCAGCTGGAATATCGAAAAGGGGGAGGGTGCAATAACCTAGACTGTTCTGTCATGTCCTGGTTAAGTACTTAGTGCTGTGGCAGTGCCACAAACCCACGCTTAAAATCACTGTGCAGCAATTTACTATTGCAAAGGCTGCCAAAATTTTCCTGAAGAATGCATGGGGTGAGGGGAGCAAAAGGTGTTTCCTAACATGTTATCTGTAAGTCAACGATAGATGGCATTTCATAGAGAAGGAAAAGGCATTCCTCAAGCCTGCGCAGCACAATGAATATGAGAATTTCTGCAAAAACAAGACCCCTGCAGTTCAGCCATGCAAGCATACTTATGCATGTATACATAATAATGGGTATTGTATACATATCAAATGTCTGTGTATTCATATATATCTAACGTTGGATAAATTCAGATTTGAACTCGCATGTTAAACCATTAAAGAGGAAGAAAACAAAAAAGCAGCCTCTACACTAATCCAAGACACTTGCACAGCAGGTGATGACAAACTTAGCATACATGGGTGCCGAAGCATGAGACTTGTAGTCTCATTCTTATTTTTAATCTACTTGGCAACCCAGCTTGCCACTCTTCAGTAACTTCCCGTCTATAACCTGCTATGTGCACAGGAGAGATATCTGACTTACAAGCAACTCATTGCCACTGCAAAGCAGTGGAGAGCCCAGCATTTGCCCAGGCAAATGCAGGTGTTAAATTCTGTACATTTGAAAGGGCCATCTCACATTCACAGAAGAAATGGAGACAGACAGACAGAAAAAAAAGGCATTGTATAAACATTGTTTTTCATTAGTCCTATCAAATTCAACTATCCAATTGTAAATTGATGGCTACTGATTCACTAATTGCTAATTATAAGGACAATTCTCTATTTGTTTTATTTACTGCAGAAATTACTTACTAAGAATGATATTAAACTTATACTAATGAACAAGACTTTACTTTTTCATTTTTAGAAAGGAATTATAAAGGAAATTATAAAGGAAATTATAAAGGAAAAGATTAGAAAGGATTATAAAGGAATTTATAAAGGATGTTTTAAAAATGTATTACATTTTAGGAACAGGCAGGCACTACCATCATACATACTTTCACAAGTCTGGCTCCAGTACAAAGATGATGAACTGAGCAAAGCTGTGAAAGGGCTATGCGTTGTTTTGTAATCAGTCCTTTAAATGAGGGCAGACATTTTCTATGAACTTCATTCCTTAAATCTGCGTGGGGTCAAATTTAGGTCAAATTCCATCAACTTAATTGAAACAAAATATTAACTAGGTTGAACTGTTTGCTGTGACATCAGTCAATGAAGTGTCTGGTACAGGTAAACCTTTCAATTTCGAATTAAAACCCGGGGTATCTCAATCAGATTCTTACAAAGCTCTACCTATCACCTCAAACATGCCAATCTTTGTTTACTTTTCCAATTGAAAAGAAATCATAATGTTTGGGAGATTACCCAGTGTTATTCAATTACAATCTGAAATTATCAAGAGTCTCCCATAATTTCAGCGAACAGTAACTATCAGAATTATTAGGTCAACTTTTTAATGTATGTTAAACGCAAACTCTCTAAATCTGCTAAGCTGAAGACCTAGGTAACCTTGCTGATAACTCCGAAAGTCTTCTTTTTTTTTTTTTTTTTTTTCAGTTAAGTTGCATACAGTTCATTCAATCTGCTCCTTTTCTGTCATCCACCAATTTGGTATAATAACCTGCCAATTTGAACGTGCTGCATTACCTTTATTAACAATGTAGGACACATCAAGAAACATACTTTGTGCACAGGAGCCCTTGCCGCTGCCCTGTGGAATTCATGGCCCTGGCACGCCATGAATTTGCCAGAACTGACCTGGCTGCAGCAGGGCACCTCACAGCAGAAAGTTCACTTCCAGCACAGACCAAGACCTGTCTCTCCCCATGGCCTCCTCAATGCAGCTGTAAAACACAGCGCCAAGGGCTGCCTTCAACGTGCTGTTTTGTCACACCCATACGCTCAGAACAGACAGGGAAACACCCAAATGAACACCTATTTCAAATAAGTTTGTACACAGGAACAGAGGTCCCAACCTTGCCTATCTTGGAGCGGTATGGATGTGTCAGCACAGCACTGCACCTGGACTGTGGCAAGGAAAACCAGCTTAGATAAGCTGCTGAATTTACATAGTGATACTGCTTTCTGCTGTTTTTATAGTCCTGAGTTTATGTCGCTGTGCTCTCCACTGTGAGTTTAACATCTCAGGCTAGCTTTATAGTGGAGCAGTAAAGGTGGATCTATGCATCACAACCTGCTGTACAATACAGAAATGCCTGCAGCAGAAGTAGTGTGACTGGCTGTAGCAAGAGAGGTTATTTGGAAATGGTAAGGGGGGAATCTGACCAAATGTGAGACCAAAATATCTTCAAAATGCTTTTGCTTATCTAGGTTTCTGCAATAATCTCAAAATCTTCTATATAAAGACAAGCTCTCAAACATGATTTTTTCAGCACGCTTTTGTGATTTTAGCAAGGGAATGCCCTCAGGGTACAAAAGTACCCCTTGTCTCATCAAATTCTGCTCTGCTTTTCTGGAGATACAGTGTGTTAAAATTGCCATTTCCATTCCCTCTTTTGTATGCTGCAAGAAGATGCTGGCATCCTACCAAAATAATAATTTGCACAGCTCTCCTGAGGCCCAGCAGCAGGAGCAGTCGCTACATTGAGCTGTAGGATGGTGGGAACCAGAAGCGAGATGAGCAGGGGACCTGTGTGGGCCTCCTGGCGCTAACATACCTTGCATTTGGTCCCTCTTCCACTACAGCAGAGGGAGGCTCTGCCCTCCCCCTTAGTAAGGCAGTGACAAAGGAAAAGGCAGGACAGACTTTCCTCAGCTATTTTCAGCTTCTGCAGCCCAGATTCAGGCAATTATGCCTTGCCTGGGAATACTGGATTGGGCACAACATACCACTCTGTTGACAAGTGAGGGAGAAGACACAAAAACTCTGAGCAGTCAGGACCCAGCTGATGATCCACATGGGAAAAACAGCTTCTCTCGGCTTAGTGGGACAAAGTGCCAACAGCCCCTGCAGCAATGCAGAAGGCTTAAGGGAAGGGCTGATGACAAGGCACAGCCGGGTGTAATTCCACCTAAAACTGTTTTTCATTTGAACTATCGTCACACCAAAAAATGTTATGAGAGCACTGTGCAAGAGAGCACTGGGTAGTTTGTCAACCAAAGCACTCAAAGGGTAGTTAGCACTACGGATATAGCTTTAGCTCAGTCTACCTGTTGATTTTGATATAGTTTCAAATTACAAGATCAAAATATTTTTGTTTTTCCTTAGGACTTCTGCCTCACCCAGAGCACAAGATAGACAAAAACTTAACCATTCAGAAGAGTCAGTTTAGCAATTCATTACTTTCAAGTGCTGGATTTTGAAAATTTAATACTGTTAAAAGTTATTGTTGGGATATTGTTCAGAAATACATGCCATATGACCAAATTACTACCCTAGTACACAGAATCCTCCAACTTATGCTGTCAACAGCCATCTCACTTTTCTTGCTCTGTTTGTCTCTTTGCTGAATCTAGATGTTCTCTCGTATTTGATAACCAGTTTGTTAGTTTTCTTAGGAAGAGTTACGCATTCATATATGACACAGCACAGTGGAACTCTGTTCCCCGATTAGGTCCAAAGCATTACTAAGACCATTCGATATCACCTTCATAAAAAGCAGCATACATAAAAGTTCACTAGCAAAGCATGAAAACAATCGCAAGTGCTGAAGCATGTAAAAGTAACAGAAAAAAAAAAACAGGTATTTTCAAACCCCTAATAAAAAAAAATACTTTTGTGTCTGTTGTGCTCTTTAAAATATACACTTTTGTCCAATCTATTCTATTTATCACTCAGTTAAATACATAACACCAGAAATAACCTGACAAATTAAATAGTAAAACATTAATAGAACACCAATTCTCCACATACATTTTTCTCTGACACTAAATCGGGAGACTACACCATGCTAAAACTCATTAGCAAGGTAACCTTTTTTCTTTCCCTTAAGGAAATCTGTTCTAGCCAATTCAAAGCACAGCCAGTGCAAATCTCAAAAATGCGGGTATCTTGTCAGTACTATTTTCTCAGTATCCCCTGTCAGGAGAGAGTTGCGCTCCAGCCAAGAGACCAGGAACACAAACACCCTACAGACACCTGCCCACCAGTGCAGAAACCGGGCAGAATACAGGTCAGGAGACCTCTACACAGAGAAGAGCTGTATCTGCTAATCTGCTCTGGCAGCACCATGCCTGCTACCGGGACAAAGGCAGGAAAACTAGGCAAGAAACAAACACCTTCAAAATCTACAAGAAATTCTATGCACGATGGCTTCTTGATTTTGGTAGTGAGAAAATAGAGAAAAAGACTAATGTTCATGTTATACAACTAGAGTATGATGCACGAGGAAAAGGCAAAAAAGCTGTATTTAAAGAGGCTGAGTTAAGGGCGTTCTAACTAACAGATCATAGAATCACAGAATGCTTAAGGTTGGAAGGGACCTCTAGAGCTCATCTAGTCCAACCCCCTGCACACGCAGGGTCACCTAGAGCACGTGGCACAGGGTGGCATCCAAGCGGGTTTGGAAGATCTCCAGAGAAGGAGACTCCACAACCTCTCTGGGCAGCCTGTTCCAGTGCTCTGTCACCCTCACTGTTAAGAATTTTTTCCTTAAATTCCTGTGGAACTTTTGGTGTTTCAGTTTATGGCCTGTCATTAACAAAATAAAAGAAAATGCAATAATATCATGTAGCCAAATCTGCTGGTCTATTAGAAGCATACATCCTAAAATGTTCCTTTTCATGTTAAATCTTTCACTGGTGATGTCACTTTCTCTTACTTTTACCATGCTGGTTACTACACATTGTGTACACCTCTGGAATTTATCTTTCCAGAAAGAAAAGAAAACCATTTTAAGAGCAAAATACATCCACCCAATTTTCATTCACCAGTTTGCTTGGAAAATCAAAAATGCTGTTTTCAGCAGCCTACCTTTAGTTCATAGATGAATCTGACTTTCATCTCCATGTAATAAAACTTAAAAAGCCTAAAGCTTTATCAATGAACTGAATTTATAAATGTCAATACCACAGTACAGAAACAAATACTCATTATCATTTGTAGAGAAAATGTGACATCTCTTAAGATCAGGATGTTGTGCACATTACCAAAATACATCTGACTTTAAAAGCGTAACAGTTTGACATAATTCACCCACAGGCTGGACAGTATTCCTTTCATAAAAAGGAGGTAACATGAAGATCACTCTTTACTGATCCCTTCACAGCACTGGTCCCCTACGGAGCATTCCCACCTCCTCTCTACCTGCAGTGATGCTTCACGAGCCTTTTTCAGAAGGCTCTTTTGCTACAGCTGCCCCAATCTGTTTGGGCCGTAAAATGTCTCAAACTAACTTCTATTTCTTGCCCAGTTAGGATTGTAATCGACTGGCGGAAAAAGGCCTCCACAGGCAGAGAGGCCCTGTAGATTTTCCATGGTATCAGCTTGAGGACACAACACCACTCAAGTGGAGCCAAAAGGTCATTATCGATATCCTGATTTCTGGGATTCTGAGTAAATGAGAAGCCAGCATACCATACAACACATCCTGACAGCCAAAGGCTTCCTTCAAAGCAGCAGCTACACTCTCAGACAACAGATCAGCAAGTGGTCCAGGTAAATCGGCTTTTGACGCATTTGGGAACCTGCTTGCACAATACCTTGAGCCCAGTCAAAACAGGAGTAAGTTACAACAGGTTCATTCAACGATAATTCCTAGTCAGGAAAGTATCACGTGCTAAGCACCAAGTTCAAGAAAAACATTAAAATAGAAAAAAAAAAAAAAAAAAAAAAAAAAAATCTCTGCCTTGACATTTTTTTTTCCTCAATATACTTTCTACATTTTATTTTCAACAGCTGTGCAGAATTTGGGATTTGATTCTGCTCCTGCCTAAAACATTAATGACCATATCAATTTTTTAATGCAAATAAGCACAAGGAAATTTCTCCTGGAAAACTGTTTCATGGAATAGTTAATGAAAGTGTAACAAAATAATTCTGTATAGGCAAAGGTCTGAACAGGGTAAATCTTACAGACGGAAAATCCAATCTGCTGTGTGTTTTACTCACCGTCTGATGACTTCGGTCACAGTAGCGTAGTCCAAAGTAATCTATCTCCACTAAGTTTAAGTGACGAAATACGTAGCCCAGGACAACCGACCCTTTCGTTGACTTCTGTGGGAAAGAATGTACAGGATCTTTTCACAAAGATGCTCTGCCTTTGTCAGCTACGCTCAGTGGCATTCATGCATTCAGTTAGCTTTGTCTGAAGGACAAGGCAGTTCCCACTGCCTTAATTCAAAATTCCAGCTATGTACAGAAGAATATATTTTGTCCTAATACATACGCAATCAGCCATTCTGTAAATATTGTTAGGTAGTTAGCAGGGAAATAGACATGAAAGAATCCACTTAAAAGCACTTACATACATACAGTGCGAGTGAATCTAGCCATTTTTGAGCAAGTTTCTTTTCTCTGATCAACGTCCTAATCCCCATGACATATCTCAATGCTGAAATTATACTCTTCCTTCAGGCATGAGCCTGTCACTCAGACATTGACACTGAAGATGAGGAGGCAGAAATCTGTCCTTAAGACATACATTATGAATCATTAGCTACTCCGTTATTACTCTTGGTGAAGGAAGCTGAGGTTTCTTTCTTTCCATTACAAATGCTTTTGAGAGCAGAAGCGAGAGAAACCCAACACCCCGAACCAAGTAAGATCACTGCATTCTTGAATACCACCGCATTCAGGGTCTGTCTACTCTAGTATTTGCAAACAACGTGGGGGACAATATTACAAAGTCGTACTGTTGGCAGTGTATGAAAGGCCTACTGCCACCTGAAGGCCTCTTTTTTACTGGCTTGCCTGGTAGCCAACAACAAACTCACTAGGAAGACTGAGAATAATTAAAAAGAATGATCCCTCTTCAGAATCTGTCAAAGCCTTTGATTACTGTAGTCCTAAATTACGCAGAAAAAATATGGAAATAAAGGATAATGAGATCTTCATTAACGACTTTATATATATATATACATACAAGGGCCCTAGGATACCAGTGCAAGTCAACAGCCCTACACTTACCCTGCATATGCAGGAAATTGTTTGTGAGAAGCTTAACAGTGAAGATGCATAACCTGTGCCACCAAATACCATTTCACATGGGATTTAAACAACCAATTCACAACTGCTCTCATCCTCATTATAGTAAAGGAGTGAGAGAAATGAGGGAAAAAAAAAAAAAGAGCTTGAGAGATATTACATGTGTTTTGCTGTTTAATCTGGGGGAAAACAGATTTCAAATGGCAATCTCAAAAGTAAAATGGCAAAAAATATTGGTATTGGATTTAACTTAGCACTACTAGTGAAATATCATTTAAACATTGCCTGTACAGCGTAGAGCGCGAAGTAAAAACATTTGTGCAAGATTTGTAGCCAGTCACCAAAGGTAGGGTCAGTACAACACTTTCAAATGACCAATCTTGTTCTACCCAAGAAGTGGCAAAATAAACATCTCTGGTAAGCTGGGATTTTTTTTTATTCATGCTATTCAACCGATTTAATATATGTTTGTTTAAACAGCAGCAGCTCTTGAAAGGGTCTCAGTATGCCATCATATAGGCTGTTTAGACTGAACAGTTACACCAATTCAAGACAAGAGAACAAAGGAAATGGTATTACACATTTCCTCAGCATACACGCAGACTTGACAATCAACCACGTAACAGAAAAGAAAAAAAAAAAAAAAAAAAAGAGAGAGAACGAAAAACATGGTTATGGTTAGCAGAAATTCACTAACTCACTTCCATCTTTTAGGTAAAGTACAGAAGTACAATGATCTTATCTTATTCTCAGTAGAAACTGAACTTGGGTTGTAAAAACAGCACAAGATAATATTAGCTCTAAAGCGGCAGCCAGGATCAAAAAACCACTGAAACAAAACAAAACTCACCTCAAAAAAAAAAAAAAAAAGACGGGTACAAGAGCAGTAACCATATTATCTCATTTTCTATAAATTGTTTTTCAAAGAAGCAGGAGAGATATCTACCTAACTGAAAAGCCCAGAGTTATCCTTCAAATTTTATATGAGTACCAACTGCCTTCAGCTGTGCAAGTAACTGTTGTCGCCATCAGTGGAACAGTTACAGCCATACCTTGGGCACACAGGGCTTCCTTCATGCCCTTTAAAAGCACAAAACCACAAAGCAGCCCTGACTCCACAGATCTTAGAATAAGACATTACATTTAGGTACAAGTAATTGCAACATTTAAAACTGAGTAGTAAGTATCCAGAATAGTATTGTAGACATAAGGAAATCCACAGTCAGCTGTTCAGAGCCATGGGGTTTTGAAAGGGTTGGTAAAGCCTTTCCAGAAGGTATAATCAGAGCTGTCTGCAATATCGCCTGTGGAGGTAAACGGGGCAGCGCCTACCCAAGGCATGCGGAAACTCCGCGGTTGGCTTACATCTACTCCTTTTCAATGAGCTGGTCACCCCTTTTGTTTGACCAACAAATTGTATAACAATCAGTTTCATTAGTAGGGTGAAGCAAACCATTTTCCATTCAACTATGCACCCTCCTGGAAATCATCGAAGACACTAGACTAAAATAAAATAGAAACTGAAGCCCTACAGAGTTTAACTTCTATCACACCACCATTTTAGGATTCAGCTAACATGGCCGGCATTCTTCACTTTCAGTAAGCTGCAATGGGTTCAAAGTAAATAAAGAGTTTCTGGGACAAGCTTTCTCCCCTAGAGGTTAAAGCTAGCATGATCCCTAAGGAACGAGCACATTTTATCCCTGGTTTGGTGGAAACCAAGCTTCTCACTCTCTTCCCCTGCTTTCTCCCTGCCCATTTCTTTCAGAGATGAATGCTAATGATGCTTAAAACTTCCACCTGTTTTCACTTCTATTGTTGAGCTGCATGAGGAAATAAATACTTTATTTGCTTAACACGGCCCTGTCGATGTTTCTACCACTGCGGGTTCTGCAGAAACAAGTGATCCAGAAATGGCTAAAGATCACACAAAAACATCTTTCTTACAGCTGTAAGATGCCAACATGCTGGCTATCCTCAGCCAAATCACAGTGTGTGCGATTGCCCCCACAGGGCTCCTCACCAAGGCACTTCATAACCCTCAGTGGTCCCTGCAGGTACCCTGGGCAACGCTCCACTAGCCAACTGACCAGATGAGGCTGTTCACCTCCCCTGAATCACTCTAACCACACTTGTTTATTTTTATATTACATAAATAATATATATTATTTATAGAAAATATTTCTAACCCTGCATATCACCATTGCCAAAGGAAAATTCTTCAGACTCATCTCAGAGCCTTGCTGAAACCAGGGCAGTTCCATTTTCCATCAGCAACTTCTCAGTTTAAGCCAACTGATTTCAGGGTTTCATGCAAGTAAATTGGCTCTTCAGCTGGAGTCAGGAAAGCACCTCTGCTGACCAACCCCAAGAGACTGAAATGCACTCTTAATTGCTTTGGAAGAAAGTTCTCTTTGAACTTCTTCAAATTCAGAAGTTACCTTATTTTCACCAATAAAATTATAAAACCACTGTTCACCAAAACTGCAGATCAAAACTATCGAACAACATTAACAAAATTAATCCACAGCAAGCACCACTGCAAAAATTATGTAATCTGCCTTGAATTAAGCTCAGACTTGCTATAGATTTGCATTCTTAGGGACAAACCCCAGCACAGTAAGTTTATTTGAAAATAGCATTGGCAACACTTTTAAGAGAGAACAAAGAATTGTTCAAATGAGTCATAATATCTTGCTTTACATGTTAGCACCATAGCTTTATAAACCAGAAAGGCAGGTTTCTACTAGCTAAAGAAAATGACAGCAAGAATAGTCAGGAAAGATTTGACTGTATTTCTTTAGTGAAAAAGAAATCGCTCTTTTAAAAATACTATGGTACTATATCTTAATATATTCCCATTACTGCATATTTAATCATCACGAATTCTTATTTTCCATGTTGCTCATTGCTTTTAACCCCTGCATTTTTGTTTGTTTGTTTTGGTATGTTGTATTGTACACAGCAGGGAAAGCCAAATCAGATTCACAATTGAGATCAACAAGAAATTTAAACACAAATAAGAAACACAGCCATGTCAGCTACTGTAGATGTTAGCTTCTTTCTCAAGGGGAAGCTTGTGTAGGGAGTGAAACATCAATTTATTAAAAGTAGGATAAAACGCAGCATTGTTCCTTTTAGTCCAGTCATCATGGAATTTTTCTTCTGAAAGTAATTCAATCAGTTACCTTTACCAGACTCTGTCTCTTACAGCCTAATAGATGCTAAGGAAGATGCAGATGAATTCATGAGCCCCTGCTTAAAAACACAAGACTTAGCACTCCGGTTCAACAGAACTGCTGCCTTTTCATGCACCTGCCTTTCCCTCACCCCCTCCCCACATTGTTGAATAAGGAACTTCACCAGAACATGGAAAGTCAAGGAGGAAGCTACGGGAGGAAACACAACTGTGTTATGAGAGTCTGGAGCACATACTTCAAGCCTCAGATTTCCCTGTCAGGTGTAGGCCAGCGGCTGCATGGCTCGCGAGCCCTTGAGCTGGACACACGCTCGATCCACCCTCTACGTGCTACACGGCAGCCCATGCAGTAAGCGGGAAGAGATCCTCCAGCTTGGAGCTGTGAGAGCTTTTGGAGCAGAGAAAGTCCCGAAAATGGGGGAAGTCTCCTTTCTACTACCTGTGCACAGGGAAAAGGCAGCTTTGGCCACGACCATCACAACAACCGCACATGCACCAACCAGGCCTACAGAATCCGAGTGTTCAGGCTGCCAACCCAGAAAATAGCATTTTCTCCGAGTTTTCAGAAGTTGAACTGCAGGATTTTGTCTTAAGCGTTACTAGGCACAGGTAATCATTTTGTACAAAACTGTCTGCACAGAGTGTGACACTGCACAGAGTCACACAGCTAAGGGCAAGGAGACCCATTGGTTCCTGCCATCTCTGGCAGACCTGTAACAGGAACAAGTACCTCCTAGGAGCACTTTCTCACTGTACCCTCAATGCAGTTCTTCCAAAGATCCTCCCCTGTCCACATCTCAAGTTCAGAAAAGACCAAATACCACCACAGATTTTCAACCTCCTCCGAGCTGTAAGAGTAGCATTGCTCAGCGATCTAACATCCACGTTCCTGAAGGTCTTTACCACCCAGAATAACCACCTCTTTCCGCCCAAGGCAAAAAAACAGCTGGGCCTCAATTTGCCCAGCACATGTTCAAACAGAGATCTTTAAATTAACAATGTTTAGTATTTACCAATATCCATCTACACAAACAGCTTGACCTTAATTTGCAGAATGCATGCCCAAACAGAGAGGAATTAAAATTAATGTAATTTCATATGTGCAGACATTCTCCAACACAATTGCATAACAGAAGTAATAGTTTCAGAACTGAGGATTTAACATAGGCAAATGAAATACCACAGCCTGCCCTAAGTACACATCATACAAACATATGCACCAAATTGTGCAGATTCATCTCTTCCCTTCTCCTTCTTTCAGTGACAGGTCAACCTGTTTTCTATGCCTCTTTCCCATCACAAAGGACTCTTCGCACATTTGCGAGCACATGCACAAATTCTTCCACTTCTGTTTCTAAGAACTCTACGCTGCCGCTGCTCTACTTGCTGGAATGGTATCTAAGGCACTGATTTTTCAAGTGGCATACATGAAGACATACACTGATAATGTTGTTTTGCTTTTACTAACATGAGTGACACTAACTCACTCTGATTAGGAAACACTGTTCTAGAAGCATGTCTGAAAGTGCATCTAATTTGTCTGCTTTTTAATTACTGTACCTGTCCCAAATTTGTAAGTAGCTTTCAAAATCTGTTTTGAGCGTAATTCCTTCACAGAGGGTAACATTCTAATGACTTGGATCTTCGAGTACTTAAATCTCTTCTCTTGTAACTACTAGCTAGACTGCACTTCAAGGCTTAGTCATATACAGATGTAAGCTGATCTTGATTCTCAGAAGCTCTTAAAAAAAAAAAGAAAGAAAAAGAAAAAAAACATTTAATGAAATTTGACTTATAGGAAACTACATTAGCTCATTGTGCTTCTGGGTACATAAGGATTTCGCTTGGCATATGAAAGCAAGCATATATTCCTTACTATCTTTATCATGAACACTAAAAAGTATTTTGTTAAGTGCCCACAAGCCCTATAATTCTGCTTTAATTACTCTTGCATTCAGTAAATAAACCCAAAAGCTGCCAAAGGATGCAGTACATAAGTATTGTGAAAATTACTCAAAATTACATATTTTACTGTCAGCACAGCCACAATACCCTATGAGTGACTACATTCACTTGGTATAGCAATGCAATCTATAGATGTGTGCACACACACACACACACAATATAATGAAAAATGCCTGAAGCAGAAGTCAAAAGTCCGATGAAGATGACACAGATACTAGATGACATTAAAGCAAGTACATAATTAAAGAACACTAGATTTCAGAAATGTAATTAATATCTAATAATGCATTAGAATTGATCCTTCATGAGTCAAAAAAAATCTTATAAAGTGATAGCAATTACTTCATATAGAGGGATTCACATCATATCTCTTCTACTAAAAATTATTCATTGAACTACGCACTAACATTAGGCAACTTGCTAGCATCTAGATTTATCACATGATGGCTGAGTTATGCTACCTACAGTAAAGCATTTCAGCTTTTCACAGAAAACAGATAGGACAAACAGGGCAATATCAACAGTCACTTCTGTGATATTCAGACGCTTTGGGCATTTCCTGCACAACAGAACATAATCATAATGAAATTCAAAAACAAAGGACACAACCCCACATCTAGAAAGATTATGAGGTTGGCTATCACTGCTTTTCTGTTCCTCACAAAACCCCTTCTCAAGTCAGAAGAAGTCATAGCATTTGACCTGGTATGTCTTGTTGATGGGCAGGGCTTCTGCCATTCCTGATTACGGATGCTAAAGAAATATACCGTAAGCACCTGGTGAGGCAATAATGCAAACACTTCTAATGCATTCTCGCACATTCACTTTAAGTTATTCCCAACGGATATGGAAGACACGTCCCTTTGGGCCTACCAGGGACTGGGCAGCTCCAAGACAGGAGGGCATTTTATTTCGAAAGTTGTGAACCACCCTCGTGGTAGGGCAGGCACGTAGCAAGAGATGCTCCTGCATCTCTTCGCTCATGCTTGGACTGTCTTGCAACCAGCAACTGGCGTCCAGCAGCTCCAAAATCCATTATTTTTATTTTATCCATTTATTTTATTTTATCCATTATACCCTTACTTCTCATGTTTGACTTGAATATCATTCTTGATCATGGTTTGCTCCACTAATATACCTATATTATATAAAGTTAAAATTTTGCAAATAAAGACATATTTTCAGCTTTAGTCACTAGTTCTGGCATTTTTGGTTCCATTCCACCTCTGCAAACAATTTTGGTATCTGTGACTATGTGTACAAAGAAGGACTGTGAGGACCCAAGTCTCCATTATAACATTCCTACTTTCTTCTATGTTCATCAACCTAACAGTAGTTTGAATCAAGTGCTATATACATTTTGGGGGCACAAAGTTTATTGTACACTGCAGTTTTAGAACACAAGAACTTTCAGCAAGCTATATACTTTGACTCACTGCCTTGAGTGCAAAACTCAAGTGAGAAGTTCAGCAAGAAGCTAAATACTGAAAACTTTACAGAAGAAAAAAAGTCTTAAAGAGGAGAGACATTTTGTAAAAGTTTTTCAATGCTTTTTTACTGCTTTAGCTGTTCAGCAAGGTAGTATGATGGTTAGAACATTCCTGTCAGAGTGAAGTTAGCTCTAAGTGGTTTATGGTTTGACTTGTTTTTAGGAGGGTGTTTTCAAGAGCAAGGAAAGAAAAATGTGAGGTATCTGATCACAGGATCAGATTAGGGCAGATCTGATCAATGCTGTTTTAGGGAGTTTAATAATAGAATGAGTAACTGTCCTGTCACAGCTGACCATTCCTGCAAGAGCTTGTTTGTGCAGAGCAACATTGACTGACCAAAGAGCAAACCACCTTCTAACTCTTCTTCCTCTCTCTGTATCCACATCACTCATTCTCAGCCCTGGTGATGCTGTTAATTTCCCTATTGTCCCCCCCCTGCCATGTGACTTGGCAAGTGTGAATGGTCTCCATTTCTGCTTCTTAAAAAAAAAAAAAGAGAGAGAGAGAGAGAGAGAGAGAAAGAAAAAAAAATATTTCTGCTGCTGCCCGACTTTATCTAGGCAATACCACATTTGTTTCCAAGTGCTTCTAGCCCCCACTTTTGTATAAGTCTTTTCAGAGCTCTGAAAAGCTCTGCATGGAGTCAGCAACTTGAAAATTGATTTGGAAATTACCATCTCAGATTGTTCTCTAGACAATTCTTCCCCCTCCTTTTGTTCAGGAGTAAAGGATGGAATTTCTCAGAGGTCTCTTCAAGCAGATTTGTGATTTAGAAGCCTCAGTCAAGATTAAACAACAGCTCTTTAAAATTTCTCATGCTTTCCTTCTTCATAATTGAAGGTGTCTGTAACAGACTTGGTTTTGTTTATAACTTGATTCAATTAACTGAACTGCCACATTATCATTCAGACAAGAGATCCTACAAAACGTCCAAGAGAAAAAGTTACCAGAAAAACAGCAGAAGCCTTCTTAGATGGGAACTAAAATACATGGGAGGGACAAAGATAGGATTCATTTTCCTGACGAGACAGAGGGGCCTTTTCTTTTTGGCGCTGACAAGGATGACGCAGGAAAAAGGGAGGATGAGGGGAGGCGCAGTCTTCTCCATTAAATAAGTCTTACAAAAGACTTGTTTATTTGGGGCTCTTCTGCCTCTCGCCCTCTGCAAGCCACACGCACTGGTGCTGTCGAGCTGACCCTTCCTGAGAGGACTCGGCCCAGTCACTACTGAAGTCACCTCAGGCTCAAATGGACGTGGCTTCCATATTCACTGGGAATGATTTAGAGCAAATGTGTGAGATGGCATTGAAAAATGCATTATAAAGTCACATGTACTTGCCCTCTGCCTCACAAAGGACTTGTGATGTTTTTCTTAACATCATAATCAGTAAACATAGAAGCCCTAAACTACGGAGAAGACAAAAAAGTATCTTCATTTGCTGCTACCCTACAAGCTACTCAAGCTATTTCCTTCCACCCATTACTTGCAAACTGGGTGGTCAATGGAGTCCGCACAGCAATTCAATACAGCTCTGTCAAAGTGCTTATTTTTCCTTTAAGACTCAACTTGTACATATTTTCATTAAAATACATACTTTCTTTTTTTTAAAAAAGGCAACATGATGATCTGCCACATCCCCAAAACTTTCCCAAGAGTTAATATAACTTTCATTATTTAAAATTTATATCATATTTCCAATTTGATTCATTTCATAAATGATTCTTTTTATGACTGTTACAAGAAAATTACTCCTGCAGTACTAGTAGAAGGCAAAAACTCACATCTATTATTCTAAAAAATATTTACTCTGTAGAACTTTGATAATTCAATTGCCACAATGCTTCTTATAAAATCTAATCAAATTGTACTGAAAGCTCAATTTTCATTAAAATTGTTTGCAATATCTATGTGGAAATTTGTTTGAGAAATTAAAGATTACAATGTAAAAGCATTTTTAAGTGGCATTCCTCACATAAATAAAAAGATACACACTGGAATTATTTTTGTTCTGAAAGTAATTTTCTAGATATGCTTGCCAGCACACCCAAACACAATGAAACAACCAATGTATTTGCATCAGGACAAGAACAAGTTATCTATTAGCACACTGTAATGACTGCTAATGGTGAAACTTTATATGCCTTTATTCTGTCCTTCCCTTCTAGGGTTTCTAGTCGTCCTGGGGAGTTACTATCCAGTGCCATGCACCGCATCAGGTCACATTACCATTTTACTGCTGCTAGGCTGTGTTCAACTTCAACGCTCTTTATTGAAGGGGAGGAAAAAAAAATCTACAGAAAAGCAGGGCCTCTGGCAGCCTCATGACAGCAGACAGGAATGAAAAAGCTGCATCGTATCCATCACAGCTCCTGGCCGTCTGACTAGTGCTGCCTGCCCTTGCCCTGCCACTCTCACAGCATGAATGTCTCCTCCTGCTGTCACTCAGATCTCAAATCACTGCAAATTTCAGCACTGCACACTCACAGAAACCAAAAGCAGAGTCAGGATTTTTTCGGAGAATGGTATCCCTGACTAGGAAAAACATACAAAGCAAGCATTAAAGTCAAATAAAGACATACAGATTGAGAAAATAAGCAATTAAAGCAGGATGCAGAGCCCTAATTCAGCCCCATAAGTACAGGCACTATGATAATACCAATAACAACACTTTCCCCCCATTGACCTCAGCATGAGGGATGGCCACCACAAGCAAGTTACTGAATTGTAAACTCAATGAAAATATTTTTTAAAAAATAAATGCGTTTCGCATATGAGATGTGATGAAATTTTTTTTTTTAATATTAAGTAAAAAAAAAAAAACAAAAAAGTACTGCTATTCCATGGCCAAGTTTTTCTTTGATAAAGAACCTACAAGGAGTCAAACATCCCAAATAGAGGGGCATTTTTTTTTGCCAAATAAATATTGCACAAGCATATTAAAGAAACAAAAATAAAATAAAACCCTGCAAACCTTATTCAACAGTTCTCCACGAAGGAAGAGGTGACAACAAGACTATGTACAAGTGCTACAATAGCAAAGTCACTTCAATCCCAGCTGTCACTCCACAGCATAAAAATCTATATAAAGAGAATGATGTGGTACTCTTAATATTGCAGAACTAAAACCTTTCTGTGTAGTCATACAAAGCTAAGTACAAAGTACAAATCACACACAAGTACAGAGCTAAAGAATATGTCTATTCATCAACAGTATTTTCTGTTCACAGACAGGAAGCAGTTAACCCGTAAATGCTCACAACAGTCTAAGTCCTATGATTCTAGTGAAAAAACACATAATTCCAGCATCTTCAGTATCAGACCTACGCGATTAATTCGATAAGTGCCTCGGGCATTCTATCCTTTGCTAATGGAGATGGCTATTTGTTGCACTCCATGAATCCGATCACACTTCTCATGCAAGAAGGAAAGGAGATTTACAGAAAGCTTTTTTAAATACAGACGTTAATCAAGTCACAAACATAGCGTGCATTAGGGGAAAAAAAAAAAAACACAGCTAATATCAAAAGACAAAAATATCTGTTCAGGTGTTTAAATAACTCAACTAGCTTTTTCATTCAGAAGGAATTTTGATGATTAAGAACCTGATCTTATTTAAGTCGATTCAAATTTTATGACTGGCTTTGGGGCAAAGGATTTTAGATTAATGTTAGAAATAAGATTTCTACTCATGCTTTGTATCACCAAAAGAAGCCAAGTCTTCAAACCAAAATATGTGCGAGGCCAATAATTGCTCACAGAAGAGCCACTGGAGTCATGAGCTCAATCACTTTTGATTGAACTGCAGCAAGAAACAATTCCCAATTCCCTCCGAGTAATTTAAAAGAATAACAACTGAAAAATATAACACCAAAACCAATGAAACTGAAAACTGACTGTAAAAACTGTCAATTAGTTCACAAGTTTGCAGGTAAGCCAGTAGTGTTTAACAATCAGAAATCTCCATCTTGGTACCATCAATTCTGCTGTAGTGTACAGAGCACCAGCAAAAACTCAGCTAAAAAGTGATTTAAAGTACTGGAAATGTCCAGTATACTATTTTCACCGTAGGCAAATCACAACATGTACTGTGGACTAGATTGCTAAATTCCAAATAGAAAATTACAGCTAATACTTTTGTTTACTTGAAATGGGTTTAGTTCAATCTCTTTTTGGAAACTATAATGATTACTCATTCATCTGTGATCTGTGTTGAAAATGGTAAAATGAGATTCTTGACAGCACTGCTTTTGTTTGCATTAAATACAGCTTACTATGTAAATTAGAGTTGATCCCATTCACACTGAAAACTCAAAGGCAAAAATCCCTTTAATTTAAAGAGGAAAGGTTCACAGCCTGCAGTCTTGACCTGACCAGCTCAAATATTGTTTAATAGCAATAAAACTAGCGAAACTGAATAAAGCAATAGCCTCCTGCATTTTAATTAAGAAACAGCATTTTACACGTCACTTCTTGTATTTTGGCAAATGAGATGT